TGATTCATTCGTATGCAAGGAAACGGGATTTACTACTCGAATGATGCATCCCCACATTTGAGACCTCATAAATATGCATACGGAACCTTGTAAACGCTGACCCCTGATTTATCAGCACATAAATTAGGGTTCACTTTGATCATGGCTGTAAATTATCTTTAACTGACCGACCGGTATTGGGAACTGTAAGTTACGGATATTAGACATTCTTTTTCCATCAAATAACAATTCAGGCAAATAATTTTTGCGATCCAGTGGATAAACAAGCACCATGATTTAACTAAGCCATCGGTAAGTATAATTAAACAGGTAATAGTACTAAGGAGAATGTCTGTTTGTCACTCTATTACGACAAAACCGATATAAGTGATATCCGATTTACATACTTCTAACATTTAAAATGAAATAAAACAATTTTAACGTGTTAAAACGGGAGATATATCAGCTAATGTATTTTAAATACGTGCTTTATTAATACCGGTAAAATAAATATGTAGTTTAATATAATGGACGTATTAACTACAAACAAAATGATATAAATGACCCAATCAACGTATTTTTACTTTCAATAATGACTCTATACGTAATAATCCATTGTTGTCGGTCCATTGTTAAATAGTAAATGTACAAGCTATTATTAATAGTACTTAATTGAAAAGAAGTTAGTTCTTCGGCTTGAAGTGTTTCATTTATATGTATATAATTAGCAAATTGATACGTTAAAAATGAAAGATCTATTCTATAAACACTAATAAATAGACAAAGTCAAGTCGAATATAACACTAACGGTTTGAAACATAAAATATATTACTTAAACTTATATTTAATTTATTTTAACTACGACCCGACATTTTTCCCGAGTACCGCCACTGTCGTAGTAGGAGAACGTTGGGTCACAGTTAATAAAAGCAAACTGAAAAGTGTACATATGGGATAGATTTGGTATTCTCTAGTCGACTTAATATAAAATATGATCAAACATGTTTCCGCGGAATCGAACTCGGACCTTTCGCATTTAAGATGGAACGCGTTCTACCACTGAGCTTCTTCGTATTAAATAGCTTTACGTTACTGTGGTTAAATGGATCACCTTTACTAAAGTTCTTAAACTTTCCTGTCCATTCACTGCCACTTTCTAAAATACACTCGATAAAGGTATTGACTAGGCGTTAGTGGTTTTTTTATTGCATAAGAATCGAACGTAGACACTCGAAGAATTTCCGTTTGCGTGCGCAGACGCCGTAGGTAGGACTAACCGCGGTTCTGAGAAAAGGTTTCGTTTCGTTGAAACGCTTTTAACAGAAATGGAACATCAATTTAATTTTTCTTTTTTTAAAAATAGCAAGAATCTTCTAGTATTTATAGATTTACATGTTTACAATGTTGACCCCAAAACAGCTGTGTTTTATAATTTATATTAATATTATTAAGCTGAAGAGTTTGCTTGTTTGTTTATTGATCACTTAAAGCTAATATTTAGCTCATCATCAGGCGACCAATAGGAGCGAAGAAATACACGGAAATGTGGAAAATATACATCTTTGATACAAATACCCAAAAAAATCTAACTTTTACGATTACCTCACGTACGTTTGTATGGGAATCAAATTTCGTCGAAATACTTAATATGGCGATAGTACGTTGGCCAGATCATCTATAATTGATAAGATCTCTGTGCTTTATCCGACCGAAAGAATGTATAGTTTCCAGTACCCAACCCCCAATGTTTACAGGCTACAAATCAATGCCTTCAAGCCAAGCTTTAACAGCCAATTTATACGTCATAAAGACCTCTGTGCCTTGTCCGACCGAAAAAATAATTTCAAGACAAGATATACAGGTAAACATTTGCTCGTTTGTATAATGGTAGCAATAAACGGGTCGTGGGTTCAACATTCTTTTAATCAATTTATAATTTTTTAAATGTTCAGATGGAATATCGCAATTCCGTTCGGGTCACGAACCATCGTTCACAGATGATAAAGCTGTTAAGATTAATTGCCTTTCAGTTTTAGTCTAGGGATAACCAAATATCCAAAGCCGAAATAGATCGACAGAGCACCTTTTTTATACGTTATATGGCTTGGGCATTTACCTTCAAGTGCAACCCCGTGCTTGTCTGTCCTCCTCTGTCATTAAAAAGATACACCAAGTATATAACGTCATAATATTTCATAACGCCCGAGGAACTTTCCCAATTTTCCGGTATATTTTTCTCAATAGTGAGGGCAACACACATGTATAATCCTGGGGGGGTATGGGGGCAACACTGTTAAACTAATTATCGTGGGGTGGGTTATCTTAGTACATTTATGTGTGTGTAAGTATCGATTCTTGTTCAGTTTTGAGTTTTATAATCACGAGCTCGAGACGTGGAGAGAGAAGCTAATTAGAGGTTTATTCGCCTCTTAATTATACAATTATTTTTATTTGCATCAATATATTATGCTTCTCCTTCTCTGTCATAAATCTCTCTGTTTTCTCTCTCAATCTTCTCTGTCATAACTATGGCCTACTTCTACGTTTCAGATGCTTTGCTTTGATGGCTCCCCGTGACCACGGCTGCTGCTAAGCATCAAAAAAGAAAAACGTCGGGCCGTAGTTAAAAAAAAAATCATAAAAGTTTAACAAATATATATCGCGTTTTAAACCGTCAGAATATTTAATTTAAATTGGTACGACTCGCGTAAAATACAGACACTTGAGATAAATAAATAAATTCGTCATAATCTCTATCAAGTTTAAAGTACACTTGACTAGTTATGACGTCGGACGCGCCCTGCCTAATTTCCTGCGTCCCATAAAATGGAATTGTATTTTTATTGCCTTATTCATATACGACGAAACTCTGACCGAGCCTATTATTGCTATCTATATTAATATGATCCTTCAAATGCGAAGCTCGTGAAATAAATACATTTATTATTTCGTCTGCGGGGTTAAGTGACTGTCAAATTTGTAGAGTAAGTGAAAATAAGTTTATTAAATGCTGTCTGTAGTACTTCGGATGCTTTGCAGCAGCCGTGGTCACGGGGAGGGTTAAAAATAATTTTCTCACAAGTTTAACTATAATCTACCGCGTTTTAAACCGGTAAAATGTTTTATTTAAATAATTATTTCTTTTAAATTCTAGAATTCTTAGTTCCCTCATCATCTGTTCAAATTATTATATCTTTGTATAAATATTAATTTGAGAATATGCTCAACTACGCTTGGTAACACATAGGTCTAGATTCTTGTGGAACGTAACAGTTTAGTTGAAAGTGGACAGTAAAAATAACATTAAATATTGTCTATAGTTAACGCGAGTTACACATTTAAATAAAACATTTCTTTTATACATGCCATGCCTTTTATACTTTTTTTAGACATTTATATAAGTATTTAACTTTGAATATTTTTTCCATCTATACAAATATATAAAGCTTAAAAATTTTGTTTGTTTTTTGTGCGCGCTAAACTCAGGAACTAATGGTTCGAATTTAAAAAAATATTTTTGTGGTGGTTACAACATTTATCGAGGAAAACATCGTCCTGCGACTAATAAGAGCGAAGTTACAGCGAGAAAATTGGGAAAATTATTTATCATTATGGGTTTACAACGAGTATGTTGCAAAAACGGTTCAAGATACCCAAAAAATATGAATGAGAGATTGATTGACTCGGCTAGTCCTTCATAATTCTATTGCATTGATAATAAAAGAAAACTATAAAAAGATTAATTTAAAAAAATAAAACAAAATATATCGTTTCAATGATTCTTCAAAAGGTGTAGGTTTTTCTTATATCTTAAGATCACTCGCGTGCAGTACCTCACGTATGTAAGTCAAGAATTTGAAAACTTAGGTAGCTTAGTCATAACTTAATTAAAATGGATATAAGCCATTAATGATTCATTAATTCAATAAACATCATTATCTGTTCTTAAGAAACATTACCTTATGACTTATGCGTTAATATTGCAATTAAATTTATTGTTTTTTTCCTTTGTTACCTGTGGTGATTGTTAAATTATTTATATTAGTTTATCAGCAACGTAATATTATTTCTTAAGGGTCGTAATAGCTAGTAAGATGTATTATAGCAAATATTTTTTTAAGTAGGTACATAAAACACAATTATTGAATTTGTGTAACCTATCTATTTATTTACATACTTAGGAAACTAAACAGTCCTGTCTCTTATAATAAATTTTAACTAATTTCTTTATTATCTAGGGAAAAAATTAAAATTTTATAGAAATCTATATGTATGTAGGCATGTACTCAGAGACAGTGCCTTTACAAGTTTCACTGAGAACATTTGAGTTAAAAATTTAAAAAAAGAAGCTTTGAGGCGGGAAAATTTATCATTACATAAGATAATATACTTTACACTTGAATATTCATTTATTTATTCATTCAATACTAATGTAATAAATAAAACATTCATATGTTATATAAAACAACTTTCAGGTCGCAGTAAAAATTCATTATGTATTTATTAAAAAAAATGCCAAATAAATGAAAAACGACGTGTGGGAATGTGGGGCATGCAGCGATCACATTTCTGTGTCCGTTTTACTAATCAATTTTATTTAAAGGCAAGCATGTTGCCTGTAAACTTCCTAGGAAACACGTTTTAACATTTAGTTACAGAGGCGGTCAAAATCAAAACAATACTGACGTAAAAACAATAAATTAAAAAATAAACTAATGTATTTCGCTTTAGAAACCGTTAAACGTGTTTTATTCAAATGTAATTTATTAAATTAAACTGTAATCATAATATTGATCCATTGTATAGTATTTGAATTACAAAGTCGCTTTGTATAACAGATTGCGTTAAATGCTCGAAATAGTTTTACAGATAGAATAGACGCGTCATACCACTTAAAAAGTCGATAGGCATAAACCCGAACGTCATAGAATCTGACGATGAGTCACGCTGGACTCAGAAGCGCATAAAAGCAGCAACAGGGAAACACACAACATCAGAACGAACAAACGCGTCACGGCAAAATGGCGTCCATTCTCGTCTTCGTGATATTATCTTGCATTTTCCTCGTGCGCGCTGATGACTGCGATTGTAAACAGGACAAGTCGATACAAGAGGCCGAAGAGATGATCAAGTTTTTGAGGCATCTACCGTCGCATCTAGATAAGGAGCAACGGTATCCCGTCGTCCCGGGGGAACTGGCTCCCCTCGTACCATGCGCCAACTGCATCGCGAAGAACAGGAGGAAGAGGACAGTCCGGGGTATACCCGGACACGGGTGCCCGGTGGATTTTATCCGGCTGGGCAGGATCTGTGTTAATGGAAGGAGGTTTGGCGTTGTGCGTTATTAACTATAGAAGTGACTGTGCTTCAAGCAATGTATAAAAAAATATTGAGTAGACAATAATAACAAGATGTCAGCGAGTGCAACGTCCTGTCAAGTGTAGAAGCGCAGGCGCACGAAGGGTTCCGTATCATTTAAAAACATTGGCAAAATCACTCCCTTTGTATAAGAAGGAGCTTTTGATATTAATTTTATTATTTTTAATCGTTATTCCCTTGAGTTTACTGTCTACCATGGTTCAACGAGAGATTCTTCTAAGACGTTTGGTGACTCACAACTAAGTTACCTAATAGGGTACGGAACCCTAAAAAGGAAGAAATGAAAAGGTTACTGTGAATTAATAGTGAATTTTTATATAATTAAGTGTTGTGTTTTAACTGTAAGTCAAGCTTTAACTAGTCGATAGAAGTAATAAATAAGTATATTTTGAACAATATCGTTTTAATTAATGCGCAAGCGTCGACTTGTTTGGTTTTTCCTTATGGCATAAAATGATCCATATTACGTGTGTTATTGATTATCATAGGAAGGAAAAAGTAACAATAGTCCTTCCATTAAACTTTAGAATTTACCCAATTTAATGATTTCATTTATTTTAATCAATCATTCAATTTATAATAATGAAATAAAAGTCACATTGCATATATGTATGCGGGTTATAAATATTATATAAACAGAGAAAAAGTTAAAATAATCAATAATGATAACACTTATATTACATTCCTATCCTAGCTTTGGACATTCTGAAATCAACAGACTGAAACTGCTTTGTTGGATGGTCCAGACCAAATTACGATATTCCCATTTAATAGTTATAATGAATATAACGTGTTCTTAGAAAATTTATAAGAAGAATCGAACCCAAAGCACATCGAAATAGAATTTGCTAAAGGGTTATTAATTTTAGTTTTGTGATAAAACTAACGATTGAGTTTAAATAAGTAAAAAAAGTGAAAGCCCGTTTCCCCTCGTGGGGCATGGGGCGAACACATTACTGTGTCCGATTCACCGATCTGTTCTTTTAACGGGCAAGTAGTTAATAAGACTTCTGTGCCTTGCCCCACAAAAACAATTTAATGTTTCCCTGGGATTCGAACCTAGGACCTCTCACGCTTAACGCAATGCTAGGCAATTCGTTTTACCATTTGGCTACACAGGTGGTCATTTATTTAATAATGTTTCAAAATAATCTTTTACCTAAAGCTCATAGATTTTTTTAAAATAAATATTGTTGCCATAAATTTAAATTTAATTTTATAAATTAATTTAAATTTATGGCAACAATATTTTCCTTATCCTTATTAGGTCACTGCATTTTTATGCAAAAGCAAGAATGATTGTTGATAGATACCAAATAAAAATGCCTAATGGGAAAAACCACATACATAATAAATTTTATCTCTAGCCACCGATACCAGATTGTTCAAATACCCATTTACAAAACGTCGGTGTTATTTTAAATGATAAATTCTCCACAATTGTAGATAATATGATCCAGAGTTCCGACAATACGGTTGCCCCTAAAATGGAGTCTCATTGCCTACTTCGAAACTCGATCAATAAAATAAACACAGAAAAATGTCTGCCTTACACTTAAAACACAGAACAGACACAATTCGTCATGATACATGCATATTCATTGAATTGATACAGCTTTTCCCAGAAATTCTAACAGTCATCGTGTTCACGTCAGTACAAGATCTTAGGTTCTATATTATATAACATTTTTCTAGTCTAAGAGCTTCTTGCATAATATTAGAATAAATACATAATATACATGATGTGTGTTGTCACGGTTTGTAGACATGTTTTGTATAGATGTGACGTGGTGGAAACCTATGATTTACAGACCTGTTTTGGCAGATGTGGCCACAACTGAAAAAACCGTGAAATCATATGGAGTTCCGTTTTCAGTCAGTGCCTTTGCGAATATCTAAAGCCTCAGTAGGTCGACGGTACATCTTGTTGAGATGTTATATGGGGGTGTTACACTTTGCAGTCCTCCTCCAGCATTAAAAAAAAGATATCATGCAAGGATACGAACAATATATAATTTGGAATTTTAAATAAACCATGTTTCAGTGGGTTCTGTTGAAAGAATAAAATTTCCCAAAGTTTTCGTCATAAAATTATATTTTTCACACGATTCTTACAAAATATTTGTCCGAAAAACTAAACACAAATGTCACTCGTCACTTTAAAAAAAAATATGAATACTTTATTACAGAACAATTACTAAAACACATAGTTCAAAAGAACATATATCTTTCAATCCTTATCTTGAAACTGTTTACCATCTGTGTATTTCATGGTGATAGAAGGTCTTCGCTGCGACCATTCCATATTAATACGAAAACATTTTCCACACAGTCCTGTCATAATGTTTACTTGTCACTTACCACCTTCAAAGATAAGGTAATCCAAAAATTTCATTTACTGAAAAATTGGTCCAGAAGTCCAACTTGATTATTTACCCCATTTTGGTTTCGGCAGGAACGTCTTAATCGGTGTGCAGATCCCCAAAAACCGTATAGTATCAACTGGACACTTGTTTCTGGACGATTCGTTCATATGCAATCTCTTCTTGATCCAATCTGGTTTCCTGAGGCTTGGCCACACTTCCATAATGCTCCGTTTTTCTCTGCAATCCTCGCAGGGCACAAGTGGGGACAGTTCCCCCGAATGCACCGGGAACTCGTCCTCGTACTCTGGTGGGATGTTCATTAGGAACTCCTTCATCTCCTGGAAATCGTTTGCCGCGCAGAGCGTCCAACACGCGACCGCTACCAAAATTAATTTGTACGCCATCCTCCTTTGAAAGTTCCGATAATTGTGACTGACTTGTGCCCGTTCGATGCTTATAAACGGAATAGGTACGTCATCTACTCCAGTTAGAGAACGCTGCGGTTGTAATGACGTACTGTGAAGCGACCACATTTGACGGATTTGTGGAGCTGCTCGAAAATTCAGAGGAATCGTTTACAAAGATGGTTGTAGAGTTTATTTTAAAAACACTATTGCGTAGGTTAAATATGAACAAACATAGTGCAAGCATTATTTGTGAATCTTGATTCAAGATATGAATATTTTTTCCTTAAAGATCCTACAGTTGAACCCAAGATTCGGTTATAAAAACTACTGACAAAGCCTTCGGATTCGGTTGGTCTATTTGCCAAGGGTTCGTAGAGAACTTAATAAATAATCTTAAAATCGTGACAAACATGAAACTTTTAGTAAATATAATTCAATTGTGATAAACCATTATCATGAAGGTGGGTTGGAAAAACATTTCGATGGCGTTATTTTAACACCAAAAACCAACGATTGACACCAGCAAGTCCTACATTTTCGACCAGAACCGAAGGTTTACTTTTCTGATGGTTCAACTCCGGTTTCGACCAAAAATCGACCATCGTTCTCGTGTTTAATAAATAGATTACATTTATGGGCATAACAATCGAAATGGATCTTCCGCATTTCACAGACCTAGAAAGATATTTCTTAACAAGAGGAGAGAAAGCCAATTACTTTCTCTACATATCAGACTTCTCGCAAGTAAATTAGATCTTTGAGGAAAATGGAGTTATATTTTTGTCAATATGTTTCGTCAATCGATTTTGTATGATATATACTAAAATAGTAATATTTTGAATATTTCCTGCAGCTTACGCGGGTGGTAAATTCAAATAAAACGCTTTAAACGGTTCAAAAGGCGTTTATTTAAATATAACTACTGCACGACTGTGAGGTGTGAAATTTAATTAATTAACTACACTTTTCGTTTGAAACCGTTTAAAAATATAATGTGGCATTTTTTAAATTATCATTCTTCTTCTTCATTTCATAGCTTTACTATTCTTAATGTATTCTGCTAATGTTAATGTGTCTAATCAAGGAAACTATTTATATGACCATTCGCTTACCAATTTGGACAAAAAGTACCATAGTCTATGTGGAGCTTTGTTATCTCACAGAAGTAATATTGCGTAAGGTAAAGGTAACTCATATTACTCATACTAAAAAATAAAACAACTGTGTTTTCCCAAAACGTACAAAATCACAGTGTTGCGTCAGTTTTTGGGATACCACGAAGATCAAATATTAAACAGCTGGCTCTGTCTAGACATATAGTGTTTAATGAATAATATTTACGCATTACTCGTCTAACAAGAATCCCATTTCCCACATGGGGCATCATGGGGCATGGGGTTTCACTCATCAGTTTTACAGGCCAATTGTTGGCCACTTCTGTGTCCTGCTCCACCGAAACAATCTTTGGTTTCCCTGGGAGTCGAATCCAGGACCTCTCGTGCTTAACGCAATGCTAGGTAAAACGTTGGACCGTTTACTACGGAGGCGGCAAGCAACTAACAACTTTTTAATTTAAAAATTTTTGACAGTTTATAACGCGAAAAATTTTTGACCCTATTTTCAATAAATATTGACTTTAAAAATCATAATCGCAACGCAATTAAAAGGTTACAGCTTCGTTGGGTTTTCACTAATTTATTCATTATTCAGAAAGTATGTAAGTGACAAGGGAAATCCGTTAGAACCGCGTCATATAGTCGGCTAAACTATCGCTTATATCTTCTGCATCTAGTATTAAACTGAAAATATTATAGGAATCACAAGTATAATTAACATATTAACAATCGAGTTACCCTCGAATATGTCGTCATAATAAATTAAAAATCGATTACTTAGTTATTTATTTCTTTGCTTTAAGTTAAAGTAAATAAGTAATAAAAAATGTAATATATACATTTCTCGTCTCACAGTTATTATCAATTTTTATACCGCTAATTGAAGAGATTTACCAACCTTAACATTTTTGGACAATTTTTTTCTATAGTGTACATTAAAAATACACACAAAAAATCTAAATAAGCAGAGATGGGCCGAGTAATCGGTCGATACTCGTTACTCTGCGTACTCGGCAGGTATTTGGATACTCGTATTTGGCCGAATAACTCGGTTATATTTTGTTATTTGACAACGAGCATACTTTGCTTAAGAAAAGCAATATATTTAGGTAGATATAATTAAAAACAACAATGTACACCAAAAAGTATTTATTAGTATTTTAGGAAATCTTTGAAAATCTCAATTAATAAAATGAATGAATAAATAGTAATGAACCAAAATACGAGAACAGTAATAAATATAACAAATATTTAAAATTTAAGGGGAATTTCATTGAACAGAGTTACTCTGCCGAGTACTCGATTGAAAAAAAAATGAATCGAGTAAAACTCGTTACTCTGCGAAAGTGTTTCTCGGCGCATTTCTAAAAATAAGTATCGTAGCTATGCTATATTTGAAAAAAATATTTTTCTTTTAAATTCAAGCCTTATTTACTATTGTAACTGTTTTTTCCACCATTTATCCACAATTTGCCATACCTAATTAGTTTGTTACGTTCAATCATCTTTGTAAATCCCAGTGCTTTTTGGGTTTTTAGCGAACGTATGTTGATATCGTTTTAATAAAAATAAAAATTAAGAAGGGTATATCTATAACACAAAAAAATAATTTCGGTTTAATTGAAAGTTTGTTTAAATTATAAAAAAAGACAGGTGGATACTTGAACCGACATCTGCAATTCGTGTTGCTAATACCTTTAATTTAGTTAAAAACTAATTGAGCTACTGTGTCCTTGGTTACGCAGCAGTAGCGCGGAGCACTGTAGATTATACTTATAAATTTATATAATACACTTACTTCTTCCTTACTAACATAAAAGTAAATGTAAGTGTTAGTTCTTAATATTTTTAGGTATTGAATTAAACTCTGACCAAACGTCTGTGGCTACAGTAAAACTTCCAAAAAGTTGTAATAAAATATATATAGCAATATGTTTCGCGTTTTGAACCCTTTAAATATGTTTAATGTGTATTAGTGTAAACTACAAACAAAATAATAAATGCATCGAAATATATTTATTTACTTAAGTAGTGTATGTACGTGTTCTTTGACGAAGGAAAATATAATTTCAGAAACCTAATTTAATTCCATTATTTACAAATTTTTCAAACTTTAACAAGTGTATAGCGAAAGTGGTTATTGTAGAAAATAATACGGATTTTCTAATCATCAATTATATACCCTAGCTAAAATGTACCATACCCCAGTGTCAGTAATAAATAATATATATGTAGGAGCGAGCTACCTTCATAGCCAACACAGAAACAGGCAAAGACCAGAACAATGTCTTAAAGAATTATGAAATGTCAGAACGAACGTTCATAGTTTATAGATTGGTCAAGCGACCGCTCGCGTCACTAGCCGGTCGCTCCCCCAAAAATAAATGAAATTTAACAGAATGAGGGAAAAAAATCAATACGAACACAGACTATCGGCCACTATCGACTGTTCTTAATTCACTGTCGACACACAAACGTCTAACTATAATTTACGACATTGCAAAATATCTTAATGGCTTAATAGTTAAGCGTTGTTGGGTTTGAATCCTGAAAACGTAGCTTTTCAGTATCAATCGTCTAAAACACGAGAATTATTATAAAAAAAATTAATTAAAAAAAATCATGTCGCTCAAAGTTTCTCAATTAGTTAAGTAAAATTATTATGTAACTTATTATTTAGTATTAAGCAATATTTTTTCATTATTTAATGAATCAACCAAATTGTTGTGGTAAGTAATTAAATAGGAATATTTTGTAAATAAATATTTAAATTTACCAAAATTTTATAATTAAATTTCCATCAATGAACATTAAAGAATGCTTTTTTTCCTTACTTAACCAAACACAACGTAAATACTAACATAGACCTGTGGGACACTATAGATTAAACAAAATAAAAACTTAATTACTAAACATTGATAAATTCATTTATACTAAGATAATATACTCGTAGCGAATTTTAAGTAATAGTAGAGAGACTATACAGGATGTTTCAATGATAATGGAAACCTAATTTCCAACCTTATATTGCATTCAAAAATGCTTAATTCTTAATATAAATATAGTAATAATATGTACATAACAATTCTCTTTGCATGTTTATCACAATTTTTATCTGTTGTAGTCGATATAAGTCCCCTAAAGGTCGTTAAATTTTTATGGCATTAAAAGACTCATTAATATTTACTTACGGGTAGAGCAGACGTCAAATGTTCTGAAAATTGAGCATCCTAAACAGCAAGGTCGATGCACCCGACGATTGCACAGACAGACACACAGTCCGCCATGTTGTTCCAAACGTCAGTTTTAAATTTCGAACCCGCGAACTGTCAAACTCGCTCCGAAACTTGGCTCCAAACTTAGATTTCCGCGGTACGCTCTGAATGTCCGTTTGTCGTTGGTGTATTTACGCCTATCTATTAACACTATGAATGTATAAAACGGTATAAAAATATTAAAATTATGAACCATGAAAACTTGTAAATTAAAACGAAATATAAATATATACTAATAATAATAAAAACGTTCAAGCCGCTCAGAGTTCGAGCGCCTACTGACTTAAAATTTTTGGGTATAAAAACATGCTACAATAGCCTCCTACGGGATCGTGTAGCTTTGATACTTGGAGGAGATACTGAGGATAAACCAATTAATGTTAGATGTATTCATAATTATTAATACCAGCTTTTTATGTAGAAAGTAACATATGTTTATGTTGGCTTAAAAACTGCACGGAGTTTTTATTTTCCCTATTGCAATCATAATGTAAAGAAAAAAGCCAATTTACTAATGCGTTGGTAGAAAATATGTTACTATCATGTTAATTAAAGTTGGACTATTAACAAAATAGTGTACTCACTAATAGAAACAATGAAATGCTACTAATCTAGGAGTCATAATACTACTAAACTGGGTTTATATGTGGAAAAAAAATAGAGGAAAAAAGATTTTTTTTAAGGAAAGGCAAAAGTGCAAGTATCAAGGCTCGTAGATCGCGTGTCTCCACGCATGTGTGCGTGTGCGAAGGGCCCGCGTGGCGGCAGGCTGCCGGCCGGGAGGAGGCTTAGGGGGTGAAATTTTTCGTTTTTCACCCACTTTTCCGTCCCGCTCTAGTTTTTCGTCTCCCTCATTTTTTCTTCGCCCGCTTTCTTCCTAGTGCCCCACCACATGTGTGCCGTATATAGTACACCTAAAACATACAGATGCAACCTTCATTTCCGGTTTCGATTTAAGATTGATTGTCAATTCTAGGGCCTCAAAGACCATATATTACTATACCAAATAAAGTTCATAGGCTGACAGCGCGTATTGTTAGATTTTATAAACCTTCCATCAAGCGAAACTCATGCTTGTATCTCCGCCGTCGATAACAAATACACGATATTTATGTCACATCGTTTCAATTTTTGGATCGATAATAATTTCGTGAATGTAGTTGTCTCTTAAAAAATAAAAACCACGCTCTTATAGATCGATAGTAAAACTTTAAACACGTTCGCACGCTTCACAAAATATATCTTGATGATAAACAGTGTATAAACATTTGACGATACTAAGACCCCAAATTAGCAAATTGTGTAAATAATATCTGCATATGTGTTAGTTATAGAGAAATGGGAATAAGAACTCGCAATAGTAGAAAATGAACTTGGGTTTTATCTAAGAAAAAAAATAAATTATAAGAAAATAGTTTTATCTGTATCTTTGGCACATACTGTAGGGCGCGTGCGGGGCGCCGCCCGACCTCGCTTCTCCATAGCGCCTTACAACTATACAGGATGCACATTTTGATACGACGAAAAAAAATATTCGACTTAGCTATACAAACTTGGAGATGTTCTTTTACTTATGAAAAGGCAGCGAATTTTCTTTTTGAAATCTGTCAGGTATTATAAAACAACGCCATTTATATTGTATATGTATATTTTCAGTGGTTAATATTTAAGTACGATTAGTAATCCAATTTTAAAATTAAAGTTTGAATACATAACATTTGATTTTTTATATGTCATATGTCGGTTACATACTTACCAAATAACGTGACAGCTACAAATCATATGGCACTTTTAATATCACCCTGCGCACAACGCACAGAACTAGGAAACGAGGGGGTAAGTACACACGACCCCCAGGGTGGGAGTACATGGCAAATACGCGAAAGCAATAGGACTTTTAAAAATTCTCCAGAAATATGATTTATGTGTTGACGGCAAGAACGCCTCCTTTTCTTGCTCAAGGACGGGCCTGATTCGATTTTTAAACCACCCGAGCTTCAACGTTTCACTTTCGTTCTAAATTCATATTGTTACATTTTTAAAATTGCGATTTTCAAACAACTCCTGCTCCGTGAACGGAGGCATTCGAAATTTAAATTCTAACGAGTGTAAACGAAAGAGGGTAGAAGTACACATTATAAGAATTACTTTAATAAAGACTCTATTATTTAAGCGTCAACATTCCCTCATAATAATGGAGGGGTCGCGAGTTCGATCAATTCTAATAAATTTATAGTCTTTCTGAAACACATTGGACTTTGTCTGGAAATCTAAAATAAAATGGGTGGCCAAAATATCGAAATTCCGTCAGGGCCACCAACCACCGTCCACAGATGAAAACTGTAGTTTAGTCTGTAGATTTTCGAATATTTAAAGCCAAAGTACCTTAGACAGTCAGATGTTATATATGTCTGGGGTATTTCACCTACCATCAAGTGAAGCCATGCTTGCCACCATAGTCCATAGCCATAGTCCACCTCTATAATAAAACTACACTGGTACATGACATGTGCTGTCAAATATTAAGCTCTTAGACATGTTGGTTTCATTACTACGTTTTCCTTCACAGAAGAACACGTAACAGTACCCAATGAATACTTTGGTTCACGGCCTAAAATCGAAGTTCCCCTCATATATAAACTTATTAACTAACGTTGTCGTTTAATTAAATATATAAAAGTACTTGCTATTTACAACATCGTATTTATAAAAGAAAATATATAGTAATCGCAGCATGAAATATATCGTTAATTTTTACATATATTATATAATTAAAAAATTGAAAATTTATTTTTAATTTATATAATGTAAGCAGTAACTTTCCGTGGTGTGGCTCTATATTCTATAATGCAATAAGATATACAAAATATTATAAATATTCACACAAATTAAGCAATTTCTAGCCTATATCAGGGAAATAACTTCTGATCAATTCATAATTTCTCCGATACACGTTGGACTTCGTGGAAATCTTGATGTTAAATAGGTAATAAATGAGTGGCAGTAATATCGTAAAACCGTTCGCATAACGAACCACCGTCCACCGATGAAAACGCCGTCAAGTTTAGTCGCATTTTTTCAGTCTGCGGTTTTACGTATGTCCAAAACCAATATAGGTGAACAGTGCCTATCTAGTGCCTAACAGTGCCTGGTTGTCCATCCTCCTCTATGATAAAAAAAAGCCGGCTTCACAGATGCTTGTTTGTCTTCACCCACGTCATGAGATCCGTTTGTAATTAGATGTGTGATGTAATTATAATTAATGTGTAATTGTGAATCAGTATTATGATACGTGCGTGTATAATTATATTAATTATCGAAGCAGATTATTCGTCACTGTTAAGTGCGTAAAATAGTTCGCAATATACTGTAGACGTAATTTAAAATTGGGATTAGGAAGATGGACAGAGAATAACATTTATTGACAATCTATACTAATATATAAAGCTGAAGAGTTTGTTTGTTTACGTGCTAATCTCAGGAACTACGGGTTCGAATTGAAACATTCTTTTTTGTTTAGAGCATTTATCGAGGAAGGCTATAGGCTATAAAACATCGCCCTGCGACTAATACAAGCGAATATACAGCGGAAAATGTGAAAGATTCTGAGAAAATAATTTATCATTATGGGTTTCCGCGGCGTACGCTGCAAATATGGTTCAAGATACCCAAAGAAGGTGTAGGAGAGATTGATTCGTCTTTGAATGATCCAAAATAAAGTCCACGACGCTATATGTCTATCTTTTAAAATTAACTTGCAAGTAAGACAGGAATGGACGCGACCGACGTCGTCGGTCAGCTTAAGTACATATAAAGAAGGAGTTTGCAAAAACGAATTTGGGTGCCCAAAATAAATATTCTTAGCGGACAAAGTCGCTGGCACAGCTTGTATGATCTATTTACCTTTTACGTTTGTCAATTGACTTGAAGCCTTAAATCGTTGCTTTTTGGTACATGATAGTTTATACGTCACAGCTTTAAATGACATACGTTCTTAACGTGACAATATTATTAAAATAAAACACTTTAACGGTTTAAAACGCGACATATTAGTTAATTACTGCCTTTATTTGTTTATATATTTACAGTTTAAAACTGTTAAGAAGTGTTTTATTTGATGTACCTATCAATAAAAACTTATCGTTTTACATGCATAAACGAATAAGAAATTTCGATAAATATAGACCCGGTTGAACTGGTCGATATTCCGCACGAGACGCAGTCTTTGGTTCGAGTCCCGCCTGTGTCATCAGTTGTTTAAGTCTCGGATACATTTAAAACCATTTCCTAATTGGCTTGTCTTAATTATGACAATAATTTTTAGAATTTGCCTATAAACTACGGCAAATTCAAGGGAGCTATGACTTTCATACATAATTTTAGTGTTCCGTAAGTGTTTAAATCATATATTTCCTTTTTTTTGTAAACAATGTACCCGTTCTAGTGAACACCAAAAAGAATCCTTATTGATAATTTCTAATATATAAAATTCTCGTGTCACAGTTTTCTTTGCTATACTCCTCCGAAACGGCTTGACCGATTTTGATGATTTTTTTTGTGCTTATCCGGTATCTATGAGAATCGGCCAACATCTATTTTTCATCCCCCTAAATGATAGGGGTAGTCCACCCCTAATTTTTTTTTTTTAGACAAAATTTTTTATTTCTTTTTTTTTATGATACAACATACAAAAATACCTACAATCCTCAATTTTCACCCTTGTACAATCAACTCTTATTTTTTAATAGCAGTGGTCAGCTAGTTAATAATACATATTATTATTATTTTATGTATAGGGCACAAAAACAAAACACAACCTATTATAAGCAATATATCTTTAAAAAACTATGGTGATAACTTAGATTTGTATCTCAAATACGTGCGTACACGGAGAAACTATATCGTACTGTTATCAAAAATAATAACTCGGTTGGTATTAATTAAACAAAATAAGTGGTTATTATAAAGTTTTACGATAAAGAACATTTTAATGTAAAAAAGTAAGAAACGAACCAACGTCAATATTTCCACTTTTTTGCTCGATAACAAAAATAGTAACAGGTTGCTACTTATTACTAAGAACAGTGACAATACGAAATGTAACTATTTGCAGTCAGTGTTAGAGAACCTTCGTCCGACACGCTCTTAGCCGGTTTATTGAACTCAATATCGACGAATTATTGCACGTGTAAGACAAATTAAACCTTAAATTCCACTTAGAAACACTTGCAAACAAAAGCTCAACGTTACACGTCTGCTTAAATTTAATAACGTCAAATATTCGCGAGAGTGATTCGGTATTCTTTCTGTATTATTCACAACTTTAATAAAATTTATTGTTACCAACTGAACCTTCATTTGAAAGCTCACAATAAACACTTGTTAAGAATACTTTCACAACGTGAGTATATCGATCTTTAACGTACAAACTACTGAGCTGATTTTAATAAAACTTTGCTGCAATATTTACCACATCCAATTAAATATTTGGTTGAGAAAGGACTCATGTTGTTACCAACGTATCTTACAATTAATTTAAATTCTTTTAGAAACTTTTAATATTTTTCGCATGATGCACACGATGGCATTATATAAATTGGAAAACTATTTAAATTGATAAAAATAAACGACACGGGCGGAACTTGAACCAACATCCACAAAGACACGTGTTATCGTAAATTTTTGTCAACTATCAGCTCTTTGAAACTAATTTCTATGTTAAAAAAAAAGATATTTAAAAAAACAATATACTGTACAAAACTGTTTATTCTATCTTAAAATCTTGCAAACGTCGGTTTAAAATTACTTCATTTTTCCAACGCGACGAGCTTTTTATTAATATAATATCTTTTCCAATTTGTAAGGAACAAAATAACATCTTAATTTATCGCGGCACGTGTAGTCTTAGGGTCGTTGTATTTTAACAACGGATGAGAATCATTTTTAAAATTAAATATTTACAAACTTGTCCTCAAGCACGAAAATGTCTACGGGGGCTTAAATCAAAACTTCTAGCGACATCTCTTATGCAAATTAGTGTCAAATTGTTTAAAATTAACAAAATTAAAATAAGTGTATTATTGGGCATGGGGTTGTAGGCTCTTGTAACTTGTTTCACTAACTTCATGTCAAATAAATAATTAATAAAGAGTTTTATTTAAATGTGTACTACTCGCGTAAACTACACCTAACTAAAACTCGACACGAGTGAACACTCGTTGGGTCACTAGTCGAGTCTATCTATTAAGCATGAAGACCTAACACCTTCAATAGTTAATTTGGCAAATATTGTTTTGTTGTTTGCAATAGTATTATTAGTATGTCGATACCACTCGAACAAATAATTGGTAATAAATAATAATGCATTAATTTACACCAAATTTTATTACTGTCTTGCATATATATTATTTACTGTTGCAGATATTATTATGATCATTAATTTGGTATTCAGGAAAATATAGTACAACAGACTTCATTAAACAGTTTTTTCGATAAATCATTGTTATTTACCTCTATAAAATTTCACTGAACATTTTCTACAACTCCTCGAACGCTCTAAAGCATTGATGTACTCAATAAAAATGTTCATGAAATAAAAAAGTAATTTTCCTTGTTGAGTGAAAATCGAACACGTGTACGAGTACATTTAGATCTCAACTATTTCACAATTGAAACATCATTATAAAACAGACCATTTATTTAAATTAAAAAAATGTAGTAAGTTTATCTAATCGCGTTTCAAATCGTTAAAGTGTTTTATTCGAACGCGTACTACTCGCGTAACAGACAGTATTAAGACCGTTTGTTGTATATAATTAACTTGTTATAAAAAAACCTAAGCTTAGCTTAGTAAGCTTACATACAATGGGCGTCAAAATTACGTTTTTATCATCTTTCTCATATCTTCTTCCTTTTCAGATTTCCACACCAATAGAACCTTGACAGTTGAAATTTCCACAACTCCTGAAGTGTTGCCACAACAAATAAATGAGATAAAATAAAACATTGAATGAGGTAATAAATTCATTTATGTTTGATATGAATACATAGTAAGGACTATACTTCAATTAAATTTTAAAAAGATTAATAAATATATCGCGTTTTAAACCGTCAAAACCGTTTTATTCTCGAGTCACAATTTCACAGTAGAATATGTATATATTTTGCTTTCAGTCTGTGGATTTCAATATCCTATACCCTAATGGTCGCGAGCGCATCTTAATTATGTGTTAAGTTCCAATTATCCGTTAAGTCTGTAGTTCTATCATTATTTGTCATAACTATATATTACATATACGTTATTGGCAAAATTAAAATGACAGTACTAGAAACGCACATCTAGATTATTAACAAACGCTGAGGACAAATAAAAGCTGAAGATTAATTTGCACTAGATTCACAATTGCGCGAGAGAACTGTATTGTATTTAGGACCAAATGGATTCTTATGTTAACGGTTTAAAACGCGAAATACACCTATCTCTTATTTTAACTAGATATCGCTAACGAGACATATCGATTTAGTGATGTCGGATGTTTGATTCCTGATCGTTCACGAAAACAGCGGCAGAAAGACGGCGTCGTAGAAAATCCCACGAGAGGACGCGTTATCTGGACAGGTGGGACAGGGGTAGATTAAAAATGACACTTAAATATGACGCATACCTAGTACCTAATTGATGACAGTAACTACCATAAAAGGCTTGTAGACATTTAAATACAACACTTTTAACGGTCTAAAACGCGAAATGTTAAACTTATTAATATTCATTTAAACTACCGCCTTACGTTTTGGATTATTTCCTGTAGCCATGATTAAAACCGTTAAAAGTGTTTAATCTAAATGTCTTTATTGTAAACTACAGGCAGCACTTAAGGTTGTAGACGTTGCGCGATGTTTCATCTTAGAAGGCACATGCGTCCTTTGTTAGTCTTCAATGCGATTTCAAGTTGAACTTTAGAAGCATTTAAACGACACTGAATCAAATAAAACAAGCGCTGACGGATCGGTACGAGCGTATATCCTAAAACTATCTCATACCCCGCCATCACCCCACCACCCCACGCTTTCACGGTTCTAATTTTTGGGGAATTTGGGGCATATTCGTAAATATGAAATGGAAAAAATATTTCGCGAGAAATGTTATTTTACACTTTGTGCGCAGTACATAAGGTCTAGTTTCAGATGAAGTATTGTTGGAAAAAAATTACTTCATATGTCGTCCTTAAGACGGAGCGCCTCGCGCTACGTATGTGTGTTTGGAATAGAGGCGCTATGGAGTCGCGTTACGTGCAAAATCTTTGCATATTTTAATTTTACATCGGCCTCTGAGACAAGTTTCAATTTCCGAAAAACAAAAAAATATATCGATTGAATAGGGTATAGAATATATTATAGGGTAGGTATCTTGATAAAACCTTAAAATCTTCAGTAAAGCTATAGTGGACTTCAAACAGATACATAAGTTGGACCCAAATGTCAAAAAACTTTAACTAACATAAATGATATTATTTGAAAATCGAAAATAAATTGAAAAAATTTTCGACTCGGGCAGGACTTGAACCGGCATCGTCTGCGTTCCGTGCTGTTACTCTACCAATTGAGCTAACGAGTCAAGAGCAATTTATTTTCGATTTTTAAATTATATAGTGCCTTCGTATGCAATAACATGTTAAAAAATATGAATAAATGATATTAGTATTTTATCTATATTTTAAATTATAATTTAAGTTACTAAATAAATGAACTGGAGTCTTGCTGATGATAAATTCTTCTTTCTCGTGATTTCGAACCGATTTTTCTTACTGACGTAGTTGTTGGTCTAATGGCAGCAATATATCCTGGTCCAATTTGTTCCCAATCAATTTATAATTTTTCTGAAACATGTTGGACTTCTTCAGGAAAACTCATTATCAAATATAGGAGTAGGAAGATCGATTCCGTCCGAATCACGAGCCACCAGCCACAGATTATAAAGCCGTGAATCTTAAAGTTTTTTCGTTTTGTCTGTGGATTTCTGAGGTAGACAACGCATTATAGATATATTTAGATGTTATATTATGGCTGGAGTATTTCAGCTTGAATTGAAGCATAAAGAATTTTCCTTTGTATTTTAAACGTGATATTTTTTTTAACTACTTAAAAGATTCATAACTCCTTATGTTAGACCAGATAACAACGAAACAATAAGAATAATATAAACTGTCGACTCCACACATTTCCTATTCCATCAACCAGCAATATATAGCGCAAGATGTAGCTATGCGAAGAAATATATAATATTTTCCTATATGTTTGTTCCATCATTTATACTTTATTACTATATAGCCGAACAACTATTCATACGTACAAAGTGTTTGTCTCTGGCCCGTGTGAGTGTGTGTAAATAATGTGTGTGTGTGCACAAAGGGAGAGCTCAATTAAAGATTTCCTTAATAAGAACTGAGAGATTTAGATGTATTATTATTTTTTCGATATTGCGTACGTATTAGCGATGAATATAGGATTACAAGCAATAAAGGCGAAGGGAATATGTGACGCATTTGTTTAGAACACCATTTACTATTTTTTTTTTTGGATTAGAGGTTTTTTCCAAGTTTCTGATGAATGACTTTGTTCGTTCATAATATTGTGATTAAATTACACATTTCGGTTAACTTCCATATATCTTATAACTAATTTTAAAGTAACATTGGTCATGCCTTCAATTCAGATACATAACCGTAACATAGTTGTTTTTTTAGATTAAGCTTTTATTTTGTATTTAGTTTGTAAGCCTCTTTGAAAGAAATAAATTCCTTATATCAATGTATTGAATAAAACATTTATAACGATTTAAAACGCATTTTATATTTAATATATCTTCACTTCAGTATCCAATGCAAAAATATTGATGTTTTTATTTAGGTTACGCGAGTATAACACATTAAATTGAAATAAAATTGACAGTTCACATAACGAATTGTATCAATTACGTATATTAATAAACACTAACGGTTAAAAATAATTTTCAAATAAGGTTGACATATATACCGCGTTTTAAACCGTTAAAATATTTAAAAATATCAGTTAACTTATTATTAACTACAACCCGGCGTTTCGAATACTCCAAAAACCGTAGGTCCGTGATGCTAAAAAGATCCTAAAAACCAAAACTAAAAGAATATAGGTAGACGGCGCATCTTGTTGAGATGTTATAAGGCAAATATAATTTCACCTTCACGGGAACCCCATGCATGACTGTCCTCGTCCATCAAAGAAATCTAATTAACTAAATAATAATATATACCTAGTGCGTTTCAAAAAGGGGCATTTAGTTTTAATGTACTTCGCTTTTTAGTTTTCTATGTTCTCGATCGATATTAATACATATTAGGTATATGAGTAATTAAAAAATATAACGCCTACGAAAGCAAGAAAGGAAGATAGCGGATGCCATGTTCAGTTTGTATATGAATTTTCAACTTCAACAAGGAACATGAAACATTAGATTCTTGTACCGCATGTGAATCAATAAACACGTTGTCTTAAACCTTATAAAAAACCTGGATTTGAATTTAAAATAATTTTAATCTTTCAGTGACAAGACTTAAATGTCTGCCCCACAAAGGGAAATTGGATTCTACTTTTATTGGAACGCTTGCCAAAAATTGATTGATCGTCTTTATAATTGGGATTGACTTTGTTTTTAGTTTCCACCCCATCTTCTCATATAATGTCAAAAAGTTATTATCTTTGATAGTAGATAATGAAATAGTACTATCAATCCTCGCAAGATGGCGCTTATCTAAAACCTTATTGAATAGAAAAAATATTGCACTAATAATACTTTAAAGAAGCTTTTATTTATTCTAATGAACTTTAAAAATAAAGTTTATTTATCCTAGCTATATGAGTATTTATTGTGCACTGTGTTTTATTTAATCTTCGCACCTATTTTAATATTGTGTACTTTGTAATTTTTATTCTGTGGTGTTTTGTAAAATACAGCAATCTGTGGTTGCTAGGTGTGTGCAACTTCAAATCATCTTTAAAATATGTATTTAAGTAAATATTAGATTCTCATTAATCTATAAAACCTAAAAATAATGTAACATTTTTTTTTAATTTAAACATGAAGAGATTAAAGGTATATTTATCAAGACACAACAGTGACACACACAAAATGATTTTTTTCAAAAAACATAAATGAAAACCGAAGAAAAAGAGCAATGGATGACATGCCCCAGGATAGACAACGACTTATACCCTGGACTATCCTACCTTTCAACCCTAAACAAACTAATTGTGGCCAAAAAACGTGACGCCCTACATAACTTGTTCGGCAAAAACATTATTGGTTATACAATTTATAACGGCCACGGGCAGAAAGTGTTCATCGCCGTACAAAGGAGGGAGTCGAAGAAAGTCGAAATAAAAATCTTCAATTACTATGGCAACGAAGTGATAAACTTGAGGCGACCCCGCGCTTTCTGCTTAAACAGGATATTGATTTGGGCACCACCTGGCAATTTTTTGGGTTCCATTCAAGGTCGGAAGTGCAGGGGCGCACTTATCAAAAATGATACGGACAATGTGCTTTTAAAAATCAAATCTAGAGGTTTATTTTGCTGTGTTCACGACATTCTTTCTGAAGGGGAAAGTGTAGGTGAAGTAGAAACGAGGATTTGCTGTAATAGCATACAAAATAACGTGAGCATCATTTTCCCAGTAGAAATGAATGTTGAACATAAATCTATTTTGTTGGGTGCGTGTTTTTTAATCGGTGCCTAGATTGAATAATCTATTTTCGCCTATATACATACACAACACATTACGTAAGCGTTTGAATTTAATAAAGTTATTTAATGTTATATTGTTTTATTTTAAATATAAGGTATTGGAGTCCTTTTCTGTATTTACAATAATTATTAGTATTTTCTGAACGACTATTAAAATATTTATTAAACTTTACTTCTATTTCTGAAATTAATATTAATAGCTAACAATTAAGAGCAGGAACGCTGATGATGCCGGTTCAAGTCCTGCCCGAGTCGATTTTTTTTTCAATTTATTCTCGATTTTGAAACATTACTCATTAAAAATCAAACACCTACGGAAGACAAATGTATTTCCGCATACCTATTTGATTTTTCGACTGCACTCAAATGATTTTAAAGAGACTAAGATTCTTATTAATCTCCAAATCAGCACGAAAAGTAAAACAAACATTTGTCACAAATCACATTTATTGTATTACAAAATCAGTCTTCGAGGTGGAACAATACTTGTAATAACTACACCTATTAACTAATTAAAACACTCATATTCGTTTCTTTTTCTTAAGCGGAGTTTTCCCTTCCTGTCCATTTTGGATTTTATCGTCGCCTTCTATCTTTCTTCGCACGGGTCCCGTATGAGTTATTGGGATGGTCCTTTCGTCTTTATCCTCTGTCGTCTTCGGTGCTGTAACCGTGAGAACTCCGTCAGAAGACAATTTCGATTCGACCATCTCGGGGTTACAACCTTCTGGTAAAGCGTATCGGCGCTTAAATTGACGCGAAATGTAACCATGCTCATCTGCCTTCTCCTCATGTTTGCCTTCAACAATTATACAGTTATTCGCTGTTTTAACTGATATTTCTTCCGGGGAGAAATGCTGAACGTCCAAATTGACCTGGAACTTATCCTTGTCCGTTTTTATTGTTGAGCCAACATCTCGGTGGAGGGATGATAAGTTTCTCCAAGGTCTACGGTAATGACGCATCGGACGCTCAAAGATATCCGAGAGGAAATCATCAGCAGCCAGATCCAATCCGAAAAGTTGGTCGTGGAGACGTCTGGGTCGCACTTCGTAATCTAATAAATAGGGTAATAACGCCATCTTAATGTTTTCTATCACAACTTTACAGTACACTACTTTTAAATACCGCTTAAGATGAAAATATACTAGGAAATATCGCGTTCGTTCGCTTATATCTCTCAATTGCTTGTCAACCAATACTTGACAGGCGCGACGGAGCCTCACTTATATAGAGAAAACGCAACTGTGAGGTTTTTCTACAGTATTCGAGAAATATAAAGAACTTTCTAGATTGCTTCTATAGACATCTAGAATGAGTTGCTAAAGCTTGTTGTGGTGAATGGTTTCTGCATAAAAAGTTTACCCATCTAATCACTAGATGGCGCTATTTACATTAAAAATTTTCTAATTATGTTTAAAGATGAATGCTATTGTTTAATCTGGCTTTATATATATTTCATTTAGGACTTCAGATACTTACATCTTTTTATATAGGTTTTTGTGGAAGACGAAAATGTAGGCCGACTTGTTATATGAAGACCTTTCTGAATTGCTTATATAAGCATCTACTGGTGCATTACAGAAGCTTGTTAGCATTTTGTTGCATTTTCTGTGTGAAAAGCTAACACATGTGTTGGCTAGATGTCACTGTTTTCATTATTATTTTGTAATTTTGCTTAGATTAATTTGCAATTGCGATTACTTAAACTAATTTTGTATTTATATTACTTAGAACTGCAGATACTAAAGATAATTAATAAAATGGGAATTTATAGAGGAAATATAGGTCGGATCGAAAGGTCAATGACCACATAGAATCCCACATGGTGATAATCAATACTAAACTTGTCACAACGCCTGAATGCCTACCTGTATACACAATATTACTACATTTAAAAATTGAAATTAATATCATTATTAAATGCAATTCATTGAGTAACTATGCATGTATACGCTATCTACTTAAAATGTTTATTAAATACTCTTTCCATTCCTCCTAAAAGTCAGTAAATGAAACAATAGATATCAATAAGTTATGAAGTCGTATCTGAAGAGAAAAATAGAGGTAAGTGCATCGTTGCATAAAAATCAATAACGAATTAATGCTGAGTCAAATATTATACTTTGTATGTACATCGTTCGTATTTCTAGAAGTTTTCAACCGCGTTTTACTCAAACCGGACGTAGCTAGCGATACTTGTGGCGAGAAGTTGAACAACTGAGCGGAAACACTAGGAATGTTCTAGAAGGTTTTGCGTTTTAACGAATTTTTGAATATAACTAAACGATAATTACCATCCACTTAACAGAATTTAAGAATCTACATCAAAGCAAACAAAATTGCGTACCAACGAACCAGTATTTTGGTATAAAACCTATGATTTCAAACATATTGGTAGAATGTTCTAGAAGCATCTCGAATGTTCCATGCGTTCACCGACAAGTAGCTTTTACGCCATCTAGCGGTAAGTAGCGAATCAATAACGTATTGTCATATATTGTAAACCATTTGTAAACAGTCACCTTTAAATTGTATGTAATCAAATTGAAAATTACCTCAAAAAGTATGTATTTTATGTAAATAAAACTGTTATTTCTTAACATTAACAATACGGTTTAAATTGTTTATTAATGCATATAGTTTTGTACCGATTGAGATTATTGTAAATATTGCTAATGTTTGGTTGGAGATGTAAAAATAAAACTTATTGACATTTATGAATAATGAAGTAGTTAGACGTAGTTATATACTAACAACAAATACGTTTCTCTTATGGTCTATAGGAAATTGATAAAACAATTTATATTGTAACTATCATGTTGGGATACTGAAAAAAGGTTTTCAATATCTGAAAAAAATGGGCGTTAGGTAAAGAAGTTTCTATCAGACCATAGATGTCGCTTGTGTTCAAAGTCTATATAAACGAGTTTCGACTACGAGCCGGCGTCATTTGCGAAATACAAGCGAAGTGTTAGTACGAGTGATTGTCGCTGCGAAATTTTACCACGTGTTTTTAACCGCGCTTATTCTCATCGATTCAAGTAATTTTAACTGAAAAACTACAAAATGCCTGAAGAAATGGAGACACAGCCAGCGGAGGTCGAGACCTTCGCCTTCCAGGCGGAAATCGCCCAATTGATGTCTTTAATCATCAACACATTCTACTCCAACAAAGAGATCTTTCTTCGTGAGTTGATTTCTAATTCTTCGGACGCCTTGGACAAAATCAGGTATGAATCTCTCACTGATCCGTCGAAACTCGACAGCGGCAAGGAGCTGTACATCAAAATCGTGCCTAACAAAAGCGAGGGCACTCTGACTCTCATTGATACTGGTATTGGCATGACCAAGGCGGATCTAGTCAACAACTTGGGTACCATCGCCAAGTCTGGTACCAAGGCCTTCATGGAGGCTCTACAAGCCGGAGCCGACATTAGTATGATCGGTCAATTCGGTGTCGGTTTCTACTCTTGCTACTTAGTTGCGGACCGAGTCACCGTGCATTCCAAGCACAATGATGACGACCAGTACATGTGGGAGTCGTCTGCGGGCGGTTCGTTCACTATTCGCTCAGACCCAGGTGAACCCCTCGGCCGTGGTACCAAGATCGTTCTACACATCAAAGAGGACTTGCAAGAATTCATTGAGGAGAATAAAATCAAAGAAATCGTCAAGAAACACTCCCAATTTATTGGTTACCCCATTAAGCTAGTCGTCGAGAAGGAACGCGAAAAGGAGCTGTCTGACGACGAGGCTGAAGAGGAAAAGAAAGAAGACGAAAAGGAGGACGAGAAACCCAAGATTGAGGATGTAGGTGAAGATGAGGACGAAGACAGCAAGGACAAGAAGAAGAAAAAGAAGACTATCAAGGAAAAATACAGCGAAGATGAGGAACTAAACAAGACCAAGCCCATCTGGACGCGTAATGCTGATGACATCACACAGGAGGAGTATGGTGACTTTTACAAATCTCTCACCAACGACTGGGAAGACCATCTCGCTGTCAAGCACTTCTCTGTTGAAGGACAGTTGGAATTCAGAGCACTTCTATTTGTGCCCCGCAGAGCTCCATTCGACCTCTTTGAAAACAAGAAGCGCAAGAACAACATCAAGTTGTATGTTCGCAGAGTGTTCATCATGGACAACTGTGAAGACTTAATCCCAGAATACCTTAACTTTGTCAGAGGTGTTGTTGACAGTGAAGATTTACCACTCAACATTTCCCGTGAAATGCTTCAACAGAACAAGATCCTTAAGGTTATTAGGAAGAACTTAGTTAAGAAATGCATTGAGCTGTTTGAAGAATTGGCTGAAGACAAAGAGAACTACAAGAAGTACTATGAACAATTCAGTAAGAACTTAAAGCTCGGTATCCATGAAGATTCACAGAACCGCAACAAGTTGGCTGATTTGTTGAGGTACCACACTTCAGCATCAGGTGATGATGCATGCTCTCTTAAAGAGTATGTTTCCCGTATGAAGGAGAACCAGAAACACATTTACTACATCACTGGTGAAAACCGAGATCAAGTAGCCAATTCATCATTTGTAGAGAGGGTCAAGAAGCGTGGTTATGAAGTAGTTTACATGACTGAGCCAATTGATGAGTATGTAGTACAACAAATGAGAGAGTATGACGGAAAGTCTCTAGTCTCAGTCACAAAGGAGGGCTTGGAACTTCCTGAAGATGAGGAAGAGAAGAAGAAGCGTGAGGAGGACAAAGTTAGATTTGAAGGCCTCTGCAAAGTCATGAAGAACATTCTTGACAACAAGGTTGAGAAGGTAGTGGTATCGAACAGATTGGTTGAATCACCATGCTGTATTGTCACTGCTCAGTACGGTTGGTCTGCCAATATGGAGCGTATTATGAAAGCTCAGGCTCTCCGTGACACATCAACAATGGGCTACATGGCAGCTAAGAAACATCTAGAAATCAATCCTGACCACTCAATCGTCGAGACATTGAGACAGAAGGCTGAAGCAGATAAAAATGACAAAGCTGTTAAGGACTTAGTCATCTTGTTGTATGAGACAGCTCTACTGTCATCCGGCTTCTCTCTGGATGAACCCCAAGTACACGCTTCCAGAATCTACCGTATGATTAAGCTCGGTCTTGGAATTGATGAGGATGAGCCAGTGCAGATTGAAGAAGCTAGTGCTGGTGATGTACCACCCCTTGAAGGTGAAGCTGACGATGCATCCCGCATGGAGGAAGTAGATTAAATCCGCCTAAATTGTTCTCGATTTTGTTTCGCTGGTGCACAGCCAAAGACTGATTTAGTTCAAATTCCATTAAAGTATTAAATTAATACTTTGTTTTCTGTCAACTATGATTTTGTAATACTTAACAAGAATTCCAAAATATTAGCATGTAAGCTACTCATGAAAACCTACCTGAATAAACAAATTAAAAATTACATTTTCTTTTATTTATTCTCATCTAAACATCAAAATTACAAAACTTACGTTCTTGCCTATGACTCACTTGTAGTAGTATAAATTAATAACTAGCTATTCATACTAAACTAATCATTTTCGCCCAAATGACTGCATTCTTATTTTCCTCATTGAAAATCATGTTTTTTCTTATTAGACCATTGCCTCTACCAGCCTCATTTGATCTCGCAAATGATGGTAGCCACTAATTTTAATTCAAAGATACTTAGTAACAGTAAAAAAAACCTATACAGTATCTACTATTTCATACCTACTTATCTGAAACTAAGTTGTTAAGCAAGATATTTACTAAAATATGTTTTACTTAGCATTAACTGTAATAATATTCATTTTTTGAAAATAAACAATATTTTGCATATGACTTAAAATTATTACACCTAATTAAATTTGTCTTCCACATTGTGTACTTATCTTGGTGCAAACTTTCATAATATAACTTATAGAGTCACTATTAGAAAATGTTGATAAAAAAATTCCTTGTATTACTCATACATGTAATGTTATACGCTTCTTTGTATCTACATCATGCAAGAACTAAATAATTAGTTCAATTGAAGTTATAACAGACCCAAATTATAAGCATATTTCACAGGCAACTGTGACTGTTACATGTACAAAGTGTATATTCCAGTGCAGATGTTCTAGAATGCTCCAAGCGTCGCACCTTCTTGACAGTGCGCCTGTCTGGCCTTTTTAGCAAATGCGCTTTAATCGATATGGAAACTGGTGGCGAGAACAGGGCGTGTTTACAGCTGATGCCTGTTCAAAAATATTGACCTTTTCTGTACATGATACAGTCTAGAATGAATCTAGAACTTAGATGAAGTGAATGTTAAGGGTATATTTAACCATTGCATATGAAATATAAGGCCGAAATTCGAGTTATTTATACTTTCTCAAAGTCTAAAAATATTAATTTACATGGGCACAGTGATCGAAAGTTCTTCACATCATTTTTACACCTATAGTACAAAGTCATTTTCGCCTAAGTTAATTGCACCTTCTTATTTTCCCTTATTAAAAATCATGTTTCTTTGTTATTAGGCCACTCTGCCTCTAGCAGCCTCATTGTATATTGATATTACATATAACATACATTGTTAATGATTAGCGGCCATTTTTAAAGTGCTTCGCAAACAACCGTAAACGTGTTGTATACATACTAATAACTATTTAAAACTATTTTCATAAAAATAAGTCATTTTATTGAATAAAGTATTTTTAATTACGCTCCGTTAGTTACACAATATATAGGTCGTGGTAACATAAAAAAATATTAACATTAAGACAGACGAACAACGAACTCTTAACTATAGAATATAGATCTATCGCATCCTTTGTGTATGTATGGAATCCTGGAAATATAAACAATAAGATAGCCATAATATAAAAATCGACTTTAATCACTTCACTGCAAAATATTATAAAAGAAATTTTGTATTTTATTCATTTAACTCTCAAAATAATTTATTAAATGGATACTAAATTGTTTTATATAAGTAAAATATGTATATCTGAGATTGTTTTAGACAAAATCCAATCTTGTTCCTTTCCTAAGAAAAGTGATATTTTCGTCTCTACAGCGTGAAGAACACCACTCACTAATGCGCAGAAGCAAAGGATTTCTCTGGCTTTTACCCACAAATGTACAAAGACAAAATATGACATCGCATCATGTTTACATTGTATGTGGAGTAGGTACATATTTCACTTTCCTACCATACTTATCTACCTGTCATGGATAACGGCTCAATTACTAATGATGACACAATAAGAAATCTACTTATTTTAAAACTTGTATTTTTTATTAGTATAAGTAAGCATTGTCTGTAGTTTACGCGAGTAAATCCGCGGTACACATTAAAATACGATACTTTTTAACAGTTAGAAACGCGTAATTTATATGTCGACTTATTTACAATTTATTTTAACTACGGCTCGACATTTTCGTGAGTCCCCCCGTGTTTTTAACCGTTCAAAGGTGATTCTAACTTTTCGTTTTCTTAATTTAACTTCACTTTTCATTTAACTTCTTTGTACAAATCTTTAGAGACTGTATTATGTAAGATGATGGTAATAATACTTCTTGAGTCCCAAACATGGCAGCTGCAAGGGCGCGCACGAACTTATTCTTCGAATGACCTTCATCGCGACATCTCGAATCTTCGAGACTCACTCGACTCCACTCGCCATGCAGACGACCAGAACTATCCATGTGCTTGTTGGAAAATCAACAGCAATGTTTGGCTGATAATCAATGGGTAGTGCATTCGATTCCCAATATCCAAACAAATTCTAAAAGCAATTTATTATTGACACGAAAGTGGTGGTCCAAATAGTACGGCGTCAAATGTATTATATGATTTTTTTAAATCTTGTTTAGATATTATATGGCTGAGATTTTGAAACAACCAATAACATGAACATGCCATGCTTGCATGTCCACTTCTGTCGTAAGAAATAATATTGTAACTTATTTATATAATATTATCGTCCAGTTAATTTAGAAAAAATAACCATCTCCATATTTATAAGCGAAGTAAGTTATTAAAGCAGAACTATAATTTGCTCAAAATTAGCAACAATATTCTTTTAGAATATAAATTAACGAATTCGTTCGTAGAACATCAATGGTATGCAAATGAACGATATTATAATTTCATCGTACCTAGTATGATGACATCAGAGAAGTAGAAATTAGTTCTATAAAAAATTATCTAATATTTTTTTTAAAAGACGTTTTTCCAAATATATGTCTTATTCTAAGATTAAAAATCTAGGTATTGTTCCACAAATGTAAGTACTGCATGACTTTAAATATATTTGTTATTAATATTAAGATTGTAAAATATTAGTAATAATAGGTAGTGTACCTATGAGAAATATGTTTTGTATATGTAGGTCTTATATAGTATCTTTTTCAAACATTTATCCTTACTAATATTATACATGCGAAAGTAACTCTGTCTGTCTGTCTGTTACCCTATCACGCCGAAACTACTAAACGGATTTGAATTTTTGGGCTTTTTGGGAATAGGAGTGGAAGTGGAAGTTAGAGTAGAAAAGATGCGAGGTATTGCGGCAAAGTAGCACTTACAACATAGATTGGTAATTAAAAATTCTACCCCAGGTCACTATTCCACGAGAACGAAGTCGCGGACACAGCTAATTTTTAATGAAACTGAGTGTAAAATTGTATAAATATTTATTTTCTATATTATGTATATTGTATATAATTTTAAGTGTCTATGTGTTTGTGCAATAAAGTGTTTTTTTTATTATTATTACTTTTTATTATTATCTTATGTACTAAAGTTTTAAGGAACTACCTAGAGGTACCTACTTTTTTCATTTGTGAAAAAGAAATCAGACAATTTTCTGATTCAATGATTTGTATGATATTAACCAGCACCTATAATATAAGCTAATTATGAGTATTATAATTCAGATTAAATACTGAAGTCAAATTAGCAAAACTAAAGAATATTATATCAAAATATTTCAGGCTAAAAATATAACATTATAGCGTAGGACGCGCGCCAATTCGTAAGTTTTAATTTTAGTCCACTCTATTTCTATTTTAAAATCAAATGCTACCTTCGCAAAACGTTATTAATAAAGTTAGAATAAACAATCTTAAATTATATTCCTATCTAAACAACGAAAATAATGAATCAGAGATCTAGAATATTCGTGAAGAATCTAGAGTCTTCGTTCGGTCGGCCTAGTTTGTTTGAAAACACACAACAACCAAATAGAAACGCACACCTGAATCTCCCTTTATGTTAATACACGAATACTCAATACGTTTATCGTGTGTCCCTTTCTAACACACGCACTTATTATTGGTCTCTTTTTAACACTCTGTGTTGCCAAGTACTGTTGTAGTAAATTTCCCTTTTTTAAATATTGTTAATATTTCACAGTATTGCTTTGTACTCTGTATGTATCAAAATTATATAAATGAAATAAAACAACATAAAAAAAAAATACATTTGTTACTAAAATACAATTTAAGAAAATAAATCTATGTATCTTGTTATAAAATAATTAAGTTTTATACTAGCTAAATAGTGATAAGTGATAAATAATAGTAAAATATACACAACTTTCACTGAATGATCTTTAAGTATTAATTTTATAGTAAAATAAATAAAGTAAATAGTCCTATTCTTATTATACACTTTAGAATCTCCAAAACTACATTTCTTACACATAGCTGTATAAAAGTTAGGTAAAGTTTAGTAATATGGTAACCCTATTCGTAGATTGCTGCTATACATTTTTACGTTCTGCGTTGTGATTGGTGAACACAACATGTTCTGGAATGTTCTACGCATCTGTCTTTGTGATTGGTTGTTCGAGAATGACGTAGAGCTTTCTGGACGTCTATTCGTTTCAATATATAAACGCAAACCGCGCGGCGGGAAGACAGAATATTTCGAAATACGAGAGAGTTAAGAAGTGAATATCGGTGAGACCCGACGCGATATTAACTTACTGCGAGTTTTACTGGAGAGAATATTATTTATTGTGCAAAGAGATAATATCATTTAACTCAAAATGCCTGCTATTGGAATTGATCTTGGTACAACCTACTCCTGTGTTGGCGTTTGGCAGCATGGAGGAGTGGAAATCATCGCAAATGACCAAGGAAACCGAACCACACCATCTTACGTCGCATTCACGGATACGGAACGACTAATTGGCGATGCTGCGAAGAACCAGGTAGCTTTGAACCCCAACAACACAGTCTTCGACGCAAAACGACTTATTGGGCGCAAATTCGATGATCCCAAAATACAACAAGATATGAAACATTGGCCTTTTAAAATCGTCAACGACTGTGGCAAGCCAAAGATTCAGGTTGAATTCAAAGGGGAGGCTAAAAGATTTGCACCAGAGGAGATCAGCAGCATGGTTCTAGTGAAGATGAAGGAGACAGCGGAGGCCTATATTGGGTCGTCAATTCGCGACGCGGTCGTCACGGTGCCCGCCTATTTCAATGACTCACAGCGTCAGGCGACCAAGGACGCCGGTGCCATAGCTGGTATTAATGTCCTTCGTATTATCAACGAGCCTACTGCAGCAGCACTTGCCTATGGTCTGGACAAGAACTTAAAAGGTGAGCGAAACGTCCTAATTTTCGACCTCGGCGGCGGCACTTTCGACGTTTCCATTCTAACCATCGACGAAGGATCGCTTTTCGAGGTGAAAGCGACCGCTGGAGACACGCACCTTGGAGGCGAAGACTTCGATAACCGTCTTGTAAACCATCTATCTGAAGAGTTCCAGCGCAAGTATAAGAAAGGTTTACGTTCCAACCCACGCGCGCTGAGACGCCTCCGCACTGCTGCGGAGCGCGCCAAACGCACTTTATCATCCAGCACCGAGGCCACAATCGAAATCGACGCCTTGTACGAGGGAATCGACTTCTATACACGCGTATCGCGGGCTCGCTTCGAAGAACTGAACGCTGATCTCTTCAGAGGCACTCTTGAGCCAGTGGAGAAATCACTTAAAGATGCAAAAATGGACAAGAGCCAAATTCACGACGTCGTCTTGGTCGGTGGGTCCACCCGCATTCCGAAGATCCAGAGCTTGTTACAGAACTTCTTCTGTGGCAAGAAGCTCAACCTGTCCATCAACCCCGACGAAGCTGTGGCATATGGCGCGGCTGTTCAAGCTGCTATCCTGAGTGGTGAGTCGGACTCAAAGATTCAAGACGTTCTTTTGGTGGATGTGGCGCCATTGTCCCTGGGTATCGAAACTGCCGGTGGCGTCATGACAAAAATAATCGAGCGAAACTGCAAGATTCCATGCAAACAGTCGCAGACGTTCACCACCTACTCTGACAATCAACCGGCCGTCACCATCCAAGTATATGAAGGAGAGCGAGCGATGACAAAGGACAACAACCTCCTCGGCACTTTCGATCTGACAGGAATCCCGCCAGCACCGCGAGGCGTACCCAAAATCGACGTCACATTTGACCTGGACGCCAACGGTATCCTCAACGTATCGGCGAAGGAAAACAGCACCGGCCGCAGCAAGAACATAGTAATCAAGAATGACAAGGGACGTCTATCGCAAGCTGAAATAGACAGGATGTTGTCTGAAGCTGAACGTTATAAGGAGGAAGACGAGAAGCAAAGGCAACGGGTATCTGCGCGTAATCAACTGGAATCTTACGTGTTCAGCGTCAGACAAGCCCTGGACGATGCTGGGGCTAAGTTAACAGACCAGGATAAGGTTTCAGCTAGGACACAATGCGACGAGGCGCTCCGCTGGCTAGATAATAACACCCTGGCTGAGAAGGAAGAATACGAGCACAAGTTGAAGGAACTTCAGCGGGTATGCTCTCCCATCATGAGCAAGCTTCACGGAGCTGGTGGTGCACCTGGAGCTCAGCCGAACGGACCCACAGTAGAGGAAGTCGATTAAACTAGTCGTTAAGAGGTTTTGTTTGTGATATTATGTTAAAGACTGATTAATTTATTTGCAGTGCACGATCATCTGTTGATTAATAAAATAAATATTTAATTAAAATTTCTGTTGTTTTTTTTTGTTTTCACCTGTTAACATAGAAATTCAAAAATTCTGTTTTTCCCGGCGAACACATTTTTGTGTCCGTTATACTAATTGGTTGTATGTCCTGTACATAGTAGTTGATCACTCATTTGCGACCGAAACGATCTATTGTTTCTCCGGGATTCGAACCCAGGACCTCGCGCGCTAATCTAATTCTAGGCAAAACGTTTAAACAATTAAGCTACAGAGGTGGTCCGTTATAAATATTATTTAGCACATTCATAATAATTTTATCGCAGAGTTAAAATAAGAAGGTGAATTCTTAGCCAATCTAAAAATAAACTTATAATTTTCTTCTACTGAACACTAGATGGCTCTAGCAGTGTTCATTCTGATTTCTGAACTACAGACGATAGATTACAATTGGTTTATAATACAAGTAACATTCAGGCACTTTGACCTTCATATAATGATTTTATTTGTAAATCAATTAATCACCATCTTTTAATACTCACCACCTAACAATATTAAATAATAATTATTCAATAGTTCCAAATAAACTAAATTTCACAGCATACTTATATAGTTTAATATTATACCGTAAATACTTAGTAATTAAAATAAAACGCTTTAAAACTTTATATATTATATTATATAAAAAAAATAAAAAAAAAAAAAAAAAAAAAAAAAAAAAATTTTGGGCCGGGCGTTTGGAAGGTTTTGGGGGGGCCGGGGGGCCCGGGGAAACGTCGGGCCGAGGTAAAAAAACATTTTCAAATAAGTTTAACTAATATATCGCGTTTTAAACCGTTAAAGTGTTTTCTTTAAATGTGTACTACTCGCGTAAACTATAGACAGTATTTACTTAGTAATTATTTAAATTACAAGTGCCACTAAGCTTATAACATTTGTCTAGGTTTTACAACAAATCGTCATTTCTATCTAGTGTTTTAGGAAATGTCTATTTTTCGTAACTTCAAAAACCAACATAATATATATATAATTAGAAATGATCCATATAATTACATTCACTAAACATACAAAACGAATTATTTCAGTTTTAAAGTTCAACTAATAAAAAATGGTTCCGTACCAATGACAAGATACAATAATGTTATATTGAAACATTTTAAAAAAATTTTAAGAGTCCATCTGTGTCACAGATGGCCTTTTTATATCTAGAAAAATCTGGGACCTTAATTATTGATTTTATTTAGAATTGTTATAGCCCTAAAACAAATAAAATGTGAAATGTTCTAGTGTGTAATTTGTGTAAGGTTTTCACGACCATTGTTCGTCATATCATTGCTTATCGGGCTGTTCGGCCGACGTGAGCAATAGAGGAAGTTCGAGCAATCGCCCGCTCGAGTTAGCGAATCGTCGAGAACCTCTCGCGTCGGCCGAACAGCCCGACAAACGATGTTCTAGTCTGTGACTAACACTGTTTGGGATAGTCTGTTGACAGGTAATAAAGCTAACTAATAGGGTCCTGTTTCATACCTGGATACGGAACCCTAAAAATGTATTTTGATGACTAGTTCAGAACAACGCTTGGCAATACAATATTTACTTATTTTATTAAATACATATAATTTAATTTAATAATTATCCGTAAATGGTACGTATCTAATGTCGAATTTACATAGATACAACTGATAAAGTGAAACGTAATTTCAAATTATCATTTTCGTATCGATTATACACATTATGTGATTAATACAACGAAAGGTCTTTGTAGCCACGTGCGAAGTAACTGTCAGTTATATATAAAAGTCTAGCTGGTGCCCGCGACTTCGTCTACGCAGGGTGAGGATTAGGATTACGTAGTATCGCGCATTTAAACTAAACGATGTCTATCATATCATACATTACATAATTATGTGTAACTAACGTTTATGGCGGCGCACGCCAGAATAGGTCGCAGAAAGGTAGGTTTTTTCCTAGTTACTTGACACTTAAGCATTTTGACAGCTACACAATATCTTTATAAATTGTAGCCTTGTGTTATCTGATGTATAAGCTATATCATTGGAAAGTTTAATTAAAATCCATTCGGTAGTTTTGGCGTGAAAAGGTAACAAACGTCCATCCACACATACAAAATTTCACGTTTATAAAATTAGTAGGATATTATGTGCCCTTACTTAGTAACTCATTAACCAACTTTTTTTCTTTACTTATGATAAAGGAGGAGACAGGCATGGGATCCATTTGATGGATAGTAAATAAAAACACCAAGATGCTCTAACAACCTGTTTTTGACTTTAGATATTCATAATGCAAATTTCACAGATATATCACCGAACGATGCTCAGATTAAATTCCTACAGCCATGTAATATCCGGATTCGATGGTTCGTGACTTCAGAATAAAATTACTACTAGACATTGCAGCCATGGAATCGAATCCGCGACCTATTGATTTCATAGCCATACATTGTTACCGTCACACCAACGAACGCGACAAATCTTAACATATTCCCTTATAACAAGGTATATTTTACAAAACAGTTTTATATAGGTAAAATCAGCTTGTAACACATATTTTCTAAGCTGAAAAACTTATCTCTATGTCCGTATCACAGATCGATTTTATTTGCAGGCTCATTGAGTTCTGTGCTCAACACGACCGAACCAGTTTTCCCCGAACCCCACTAGATGCAAATTTTCGGCTCTATTGGTCTTATGTGTCCACATATTTTTCTCCCGTTCATCCTTGTGAGCCATCTTCTATATTTCTCATATCAAAACTCATGGCTATGTCCACGACTTGCATCTATTTTAGTATTTATTGGAAACGCTTATATAAATAATAACGTCTACATACTATTAATTAACTTATACTAATTAACAAAACATTTAAACAAATTAATAAATTGTGTAAGGCTTTCACGGCCATCGTGCAGCATATCCTTGTTTTTCGGGCTGTTCAGCCGACGTGAGCGGGAAGACGTTCTCGACGTTCGCCATCATGAATAGATATTCAATTCATCTTATAATACTGTCTATAGTTTACGCGAGTAGTACACATAGATATAACACTTTAACGGTTTAAAACGCGATATATTAGTTAAACTTATTTGAAAATGATTTTTTTCCCCCCCCCCCCCCCGGGCCGAAGTTAAAAATAATTTTTAAATAACTTCACCTAATTTAAACCGTTAAAAACAAAAGTTGAAAAGTTTTAAACCGTTAAAGTGTTTTATTCATCTTGGATCTGTACTGAATTCTTAATTTCTCTTTACCCTAGAAGAGTTTGGAACCGCCACGGGTTCGGGTTTCCACAACTACCGTCACGAAATTTGTAACCGGAACCGACGGCTTAACTCTCCGAGCCGCGTAAGGTCGGTAGTAAGCTGCAATTAGCTATAATTGCTGCAGTAAATGGGCAGAAATCTTATCATTGATCAGTACGAACAAACACGCTTAATCTAATCGTTTTAGTATCATTCAAATACTTATAAGATAATAGGAATAGCTACAGCGTCCTAAACGAAAGTAGACGTCTTTGTTTTCTGTTAGATTAACGATGATATGAAACGAATTGGGGAACTGATCGAAAATGGAAAAAGTGAACGAGAACGGTTATAAACCATTTGTTAGACAGGTACGTATTATTATTTTATGTAGTAGGAAGAAACATATCTTAAATATTGGAGTAATATCTAAATCTTTAAAGTAAAACTGAAAGCTGTTTAAAAAGGCCAAGAGAAAGTTTTAAATTTGTTTTGATTGATAGATTGGCTCGGAACCGAACAGTGACCATTATTGTATAATAATTCGTAAACCAATAAAAAATATAATTAATGTATAAGCGTATTTTTTTATAACACTCACGTGTAGAGCTACTTTTTTTTTTTATTAAAATATATTTTTTAATGCAATAAATAAACACGCAGAATTTTTATATAAGTGATGGTGTAGGGGGAGATTTAAAATTTAATTATTATATGTTGCCAAGTCATTAAAAAAGATAATATTATTAAACAATGTCCAATAATCTGTGACGCAAAAATATTTTAATTCGTAAAATTTATGGTTTCCTAGTCTAATCTTTTAAATACGGTGACGTTAAGTTGACATAGAGTAATAAAAAAAAAAATTACAAATAATTATAATCGAAACGTCGGACCATAGTTAAAAATAATTTCCAAACAAGTATATCGACCACCACCGAAAACAATTATAAACTAAAATATATCGCGTTTTAAACTGTTATTCTTTTATATAAATTATAATCATATTTTTATTTTAAGGGGTATAATTGAGGCCGCTAGAGGCAGAGTCGCCACTGCAAAGTTAAAGTTGAGTTATTCATATTTTCTAAAATTATTGTTAACATTAACTAAAAATTGTTAACATAATTCTTACACAAATAATAGTACCAATTCATTTTCGCCTAAGTTAATTACGCATTTTTATTTTCCTCCTTATTGAAAATTATGTTTATGTTATTAGGCCACTATGCCTCTAGCAGCCTCAATTATAAATAAATATCGTCTTCTAATATTTGTATGTCAATTTTCTCTTAGCTTTTCCGGACTTAGGAGCACTTATCAGACGACAAGTAGTCTAGAGTATTTTGGTTTCGCGAATTGGCCTTGTATTATTATTAACTAGCTGTGACCAGCGACTTGATCCGCATAGATTTTGGGTATTAAAATTTGATTTTTAAATCTCTCCCTCATCTTTATAAATTGTAACTGTAACCCATGACGCGCGCCATCAGAGTACCGTCAGGTCGTTCTTTTGAAATAATCTTATATGATAGATATCTACTGTCGCGGACATTTTTTTCGATTGTTAATAGAGAAATTATTTTTTCATCCATATTTGTATGTACCTTGAACTGTTTTAGCAGCGAACGCAACGGAAACCCTCAAAGATAAACATTTTTATTCGTTTTTTTTTTTACATTTTCGAGTGTTACATCGCTCCTATGAAGCCTGAAGCCTTCCTCGATAAATGATCTAACCAACACAAAAATATTTCATCATTTCGAACCAGTAGTTCCTGAGATTATCGCGTTCTAACAAAGTCTACATGCTTTCTAATATTAGTACCTACTAGTATTTTATATTAAAAATATTTTTTTTTAATTCAATAAACACTACTGCCCTCAATCACATATTTTTTATGATTGAAATCGTCTATATAAAATATATCTTACAATCTTTTATAATGAATGATTCCGATTTAGTCTAAATTGCGTCATATTGACGTGATTTCATATAATTTAAAACAATAGAAAAGTACGCTATTGATATTTTTTCGTTTTTCAAATTAACCTCAACCAATGTCATACCTACGCATAATAAAAAAAAACATGTTTACCGCAAACAAAACTCAACACCGGCCTCTAATTTCTTTTTATCAGTATATGACGTAACTAGCCAGACCCGCGACTCCGTTCGCGTAGTTATTTTGTAGATTAAACCTTTTCATCTAGCGTCTAGTTGTCCTTCCAAGTTAATATAATTAAAATATAGTGTCGGACTATTTTTTATAATTTCAAGAGTAATGTTTTTATGTTTTTTTTTTATATCTTGAACCTCGCAACTCAAGGCACGCAACGGATACCCTCAAACATGAACAATTTGTTCCCGTTTTTTCCACATTTTCCACTATTTCTTAGCTCGTATTGGTTGCCGAGTGATGTTCCTTCCTCGATAAATGGCCTAACTAACATAAAGAATAAAATTTATACAGGCTAGAATTATTTAATTCGAACCAGTAGATCCTGAGATTAGCGTGTAAAATTATACAAACTCTTCAGCTTTATAATATTAGCATAATAACTTTGTAAAACGTTTCAGTGTTTTCTGACAGCAAGTGTAGCCCTGAACATCATCGGCCATGGCTGCGTCATTGGATTTCCAGCGATTCTTATCCCGGCTCTCCGTCTTCCTGAATCTGGTATCAAGGCGAGCGCGAGCGAAGAATCATGGATAGGTAAGCATCTAAATTGTTCCCCCCACCGCCATGTGAGAAGTTAGCTTCTACCCAAAAGTAATTTATTGAACTTGTTCATGATGCAATTCGTAAATCCTATTTCACATACTTATGTAAAATAATCCTTTCATATTGCGTATTGAACTAATTTTCATTTGTTCTTTTACAACCCAAGATAATGTGACGTCTGTTTTTCATGCGAATGTTATCTAAGTTGTAACTTCTTTAATCCGCAAATTCCATTTCAGCATCAATCGTCGGATTCGCTTTGATAATGGGAAATTTTATCATCACGCCCTTGATGGATACTTTGGGGCGAAAAAAATCACACCTCCTCACCATTTTGCCAATATTCACCGGATGGTTCACTCTTCTCATGGCAGAAAGCGTCACCTGGCTGATCATAGCGAGGTTCCTCCAAGGCATCGCTATGGGTATGTTGGGACCACTCGGCTCCATCATAATCGGTGAAATGACAGACCCGAGGAACCGCGGAGCGTTCCTGACCTGTGTATCCCTGTCATTAACAATAGGTGTGTTGTTCTCTCACTCTTTGGGGACGTTTTTCAGCTGGCAACAAAGCGCTCTGATATGCTCCTTCATAACGTTTACCAGTCTACTACTAATTATGTACAATCCCGAATCACCGTCTTGGCTGATCGCTAAAGGGAAATATGAAAAAGGAGAAGAAGTCTTCTTTTGGTTGAGAGGAAGATCTCCAAAGCAGGAAGCCGAATTGGACGACATGATCGCCGCTCAGAAGTCGCTCCGGAAATCGAGCATCATCGGTCAGAAAGTAACGTTTGGCGTGCGAGTTAGAAGATTCTGCATCTACCTGAACGAAACATTTAGGAAACCTGAATTCTACAAGCCCATAATTATTATGTTCGTTTTGTACACTATGTTCCAATTCGCCGGTATCAACGTTATAAGTTCGTATGCGATGGATATCATCGATCAAGTGGTCGGCCCCGAAGCGAACGCTAAATTCTTAATGGTCCTGCTAGATGTGGAAAGACTGATTTGTAATTTGTTAGCTGTATTTTTAATGAAGACGATGAAGCGACGCACGTTGCTGTTCAGCAGCTCAGCTATTTGCGTCTTCTCATATCTAGGCAAAAGCTATTATATATATGCTAGGGATAATAACGCGTTACCGTTCACTAGTCAGTGGATACCGATAAGTTTGATAGGTTTATATATGTTTTCATTGACTGTAGGTATATCGTCCATACCGTTTACGATATCTGGAGAAATATTTCCCTTAGAATATCGAGGTTTCGGGGGTGGTATAAGTGTATTGGCTTTGTCTTTTAACTTCTTTGTAGCTGTAAAGTCTTTCCCAGTTTTAACATCCGCTGTTGGGTTGTCTATTACTTACCTTATGTATACGGCGGTTGTGGTTGTGTGTCTCTCTATTTTATATTTTATGTTACCGGAAACGAAGGATAGGACATTGCAAGAAATCGAAGATAGCTTTAGAGGGGTGTCAGCTGCTGATAGGAAATGTGTGGAGCCTTTGAACGGCACTCACAATGCGTAGTGCATCTACTTCTATTATATTGTATAAAACAATATTTTATCGCGGACTGAATCTTTTGATTAAAGCACGATAAGTGAGCTAATCTCAAATAATACTATTCAAATGTTAAAACTTGATTGTAAATTATTATTAGTGTCCGAACGAAGGTCGACTCCTTGTTCAAGCTGATTAATTGATATATAGAATCAACCTTTGGCTGAAGGTTCATCTACTGACTGCCTCCAAATCTCAGGAGCTCAGTCGTCCGTGGTTCGAATGCCATGGAAATGATAAATTGTTTTAGTCAATCAGGGCACACAAGTGTGATGAACTACAGACCTGTATTTAAAACTGATCAGCGAAACGTACTCAGAAATATGTTCGTGACCCACAGGGATTATTTTTTGATAATAATCTTTTAATATGTTCTAATTTCCCTTTACGGCGACACAAATCTCTTTAAAGATGGCGTCACACATTTGACACTTGTTTCGCTCTAACTTATAATAGTTATATTTTTGAAATTTCAAATTTAAGCACCTTCCCGTTGTCAAATTGATCTGAACTTTGGTACAGACATTTTATTTAGATGACAATACAATATAATAAAATCAATAATATTATAAATCCAAATGGCCGCCGATACAAAACGCCGGATTACATATTTTTCCTTAACCCCCTCAATATGGGTATCAAATGAAAGGGAAAAACACGATAATTATGTGAACATTTAAATTTTTTTCTACTGCACAAAAAATAAAACCGCTTAGGTAAAATTTTTTTAAGTTTGTACTTGTTTATTTCGGCCTAATAATCTTTAGAGCAAATTTAGTGGACTATGCTTACCAAGTGACTGATGTTATCACCGCGGCGTTCTTGAGTTAATAAGATAAATATTATGCACCTTTCATGTTTTTCGTATTAAAATTTATGTTTGCGCTGTGTAGCTTCAAAAACAAAATTATCTTAAGAAGTTAAAGTATATTTTAGTTTCGCTAGAAGAAATTTTAAAATTCTTACCCAAGATAAAATTAATATTTTATATATTTCGCAATTTTTAAACGCAGTTGTATAATATACATATATTGTTTAGTAAAAGTTATGTTCCACGAGAGAAACATATTCTTTATGTAGCCTAGTTTACCTAATTTTAAATAAAAACAATTTTGTGATATTAAAGGACAATTTTTTTTTTGAAAGAACAGACAAAAATGATTGGCATAAAACTAAAACCCTAAGAATTGTAAAACTAAAGCGAAGTTTTAATCATAAATAAAAACAATAAATGGAAGAACAACAGACTATCAATACTTGATGGAAAGTGAAATATCTTGATGCAACCCCAAAAGAAATGAGTTTTCGACCGAGTTTTCGGCTTTCAGAAATCTACAGACAAAAACACGATTATAATATACGGCTTCCGTCTGTAGACCGTGATTCCAAGTTGAGTTAATTTTGTTACTTTGTCACCCCGTGATCACAGTTGCTAGGCTATAGCATCCGACATATATGGTACCATATGTAAAATAATTTATAAATAAGTTTTACTAATATATCTTCGCGTTTTAAAGGTTAAAGTTGGAGAAATTACGTTTGAAAACATTTACATGATGGCATTTAATAAATTAAAAATTGGTTGTAAGCTTATTTTCAAGTAAAATGTAGACAATCATATTTAAAAAAAATACGACACGAACAGGACTTGAATCCGCACCGCTCTGTGGTGATTCGACCATCTGGTCTACTGTCTCCGGTTCGTTTATTATTATCCATTGTTAATTGGGCATGTCCGTCTGTATCCCTAACAATATCTAATCTGTGTGTGTCATTGTAATTCCTACCTGATATGATCTTCAGTGTCGCACTTGAAGTAACGACGACATTAATAGGCAGAAACTCTTATCAACAAACAGACTTGTACACACGCATTAATCTAATCACATCACCTTGTCAGGAGATGCCTTGACCGTTACAGCTGGAGAAACTATTTACAAAATTAGTTTAACTATAAAGACAAATTTAGATATTATTTAAATTTACACTTTTTACACACAATTTTGACTACGGCCCGACGTTCACGGGGATATATATAAATAAGTTTAACTAATATATTTCGCGTTTAAAACTGTTAAAGTATAAATGTGTGCTACTCGCGTTAACTACGGTCAGTTTTAAATTAACATTGAATAAACTTATGACACACCCTGGATTCAAACCCATGACCCGACACGTTGTGGTTTATTTCATCTAATGCCGAATGGCATACCTAATTGAATCATACGATTAAGCAGGTAAACTCTGTAGTTTACTTTAAATAAAAGACTCTAGCGGTTGAAAACGCGAAATATGTTATGTAACATATTTTTATTTATTTTAACTTCGAATCAACGTTGCTTTGCAGTAGCGGAACGTCTGACCGTAGTTAAAATAAGGTAACTAATATAATTCGAGTTTGAAACCGTTTAAAAATGTTTCATTTTAATGTGTTTAGTCACGTAAACTACAGAGTTTATCTACTTTTCAGCATAAGATGAAATAAACCACAACGTCGGTTCATGGGTTTGAATCTCGGGTGTGTCATAAGCTTTTTTCAATCTAAATCTAATATTGTAGTTGTCTGTAATCGCTGACATTAATTCCCTTTGTACGATAAAATATGTCTAATAAGTTATTGCACTGCAATTCTAATATCTAGAAAAGGTATTGAGTTCAGTTTCATAAAACGCACTTGTGGTATTATCTAAAACGGATATTGTTTAACAAAGGCTTTGTTATAATTGTAACAATATCTAGATCGAGATATTCTTGTTGTCATAGGCAATTTAAAATAGACGCTATGTTAATTGAGGTCGCTAGAGCCAGAGTAGCCTACCTGCAATTTTATGACTTTATTTATATTATTGTTATTTTAAAATGTTAATCTACAAGAGCACAGTGACCGAAAGCTGTTAATATTTTACACAAATAATAGTACAAATTTATTGTCGACTAAGTTAATTGGGCATTTTTATTTTCCTCCTTAAAGAAAATCATGTTTTTTGTTATTAGGCCACTCCGCCTTACAGCCTTAATTAATAACAATCGTACCTTTTAATCGACGGGTTCGTTGTTTAATTGGCATCAATATATGACTAATAATGTGCGTGGGTTCGATTACCACCAACGTCTTTGTAAATTTTATAAAGATATTAAATCCATCTCTGGAATCTGGAAAATCTGAACATTAAATTACAGGATCTATAAGGGGGGGGGGGGGGAAAAAAACCCCCCCCGGGGGGGGGGGGGGGCCCAATTTTTTTTCTTTGGGGGGGGGGAAAAAAAAAAAAACCCCAACCCCCCCTTTTAAAATAAAGGCCAAGGGGGGGGAAAAAATTTTTTTTTTTTTAATTTTCCCTTTTCTTTCGGGGAAAGGGGAAAACCGCATACTGGGGCACATGAAAAAAAAACCCTCTATAAAACCTTTTAAACGGTTTAAAACGTGATTTATAGTAGTCAATTAGACATTAACTGGTCGACAACCTGAAGGAACTCCTACCAGGTGGACACAGACCTGGCCAAAGTACCTGATAAGGGCTGGATTCAAGTAGTAGTAGCTATCGTTCGGACAGGTGCAGCGGCCATGTTTTATTAGTATTTAAAGCATCGAATTTTATCAAAAAAGTAACATGAAAATTAAAGATTATAATAGTGAATAATTCTTATCAAATTAATATATCGTATTGTGTTTTATTCATAGTGTTCTTATCGATGAAATGTCAGCCTACAGACCCAAATACTAAAATTAGTTGCTAAGTTGTATTAAAAATATATTATTATATAACATTGTCGCTAATCTCTCTTCTGTATAATCTTTCTATTATCTCAATAGGCTGTATGTATGCCTATGAGTTTAAACACAATCCAGATCTACTGATCTACATCTTGAACCATGTCGGGCGCCTTCGTGTTAATGACATGCTCATGCCAGCACATGCACAGTGGTCGCGTGTTTATTGGTGTGGCGGCGTTTTTATACGATGTGCTTTTAGCAGTACATAAGATCATGAGCAAAGCCCACGACTCCGGTGGAGTAGTTATTTGTTTGCAAACAACCTCCGCAGCCTGGTTCTTGCAAGTTTTAAGATTAACTTTAGGCCAGACAAGTTTGCCGACATTTTGCCCATACAATACAAACCCATAAAACTAAAAACTTTTCCTCGTTTTCTCATCATATCCCGCTGTTTCTTCGCTCCTATTAGTCATAGCGCGATGTTTTATAGTCTATAACCTGTCTCGATAAATGCTCGAATTAACACAAAAAGAATTTGTCAATTCCCACCTGAGTTCCTGAGATTAGCGCGTTCAAACATTTGTTTGAACACCCCCTTAGCTTAATATATTAGTATAGATTTGTCCGTTTAACACTGATACTAAAAAGTATCTAAGTGCATGCTTAGTGTCAAGCATTACATGTAATAATGATTACATCAGCACAAGAAAAATTCATGTTGTGGTATCACTTTTGTTTAAAGTAAATTTGTAATTGATTGTTCATTTAACAGAAAAAAGTAATGGCAAAAAGACACAGAACAAAGTAATCTATACCATATGTAATAATTTTATCAAAAACAAATATTTAAAGCATTGTAAATTGGGATTTTCCTTCGTCACTGTGACGGTAACTTTCTATGATTAAAATGCTCGGGTTATGTTATAAAAATTTTACAGAGTCTCAATTTAGATTAAAGTATGATTAAGAAATGTAAAACATATTAAATAAGCCATATAAATAAATAGTTTTAAAATGTATTACTATATTAAATTATTCAATGATTGATTTAATAATACAAGGAGGGCCCAAACAAATGACAAATGTTAACTGTCTCTGTCACAAGACAGACAGATATGGACGATTAGCATTTATTGCAGCAGGTTGGTTGTAACCCGTCCTCAAGTATTTCTCATATCAATATCAATGTTGTAAAAGTATATATGTACTTTATTGTAATAAAAATCGTAAAATTCCTTCTAACTACTTGGCCAGCTCTATAAAGCTGAAAGGCGTTTCCTAATGTTCTCGTCACCCATCTCAACCACCCTCAATGTTCTCCAGTTCCAGCATTTTGTCCTTTTCGTGGGGTTCAGCTTCTCCAGTTGTATCCTTAATTCCTTTGAAGTGACACTCGATTTCATAAAGCGTCTTCCCTTTTGTTTCTGGCAATAGATAATACAAAAACGCCCCACAGATCGCAATACATAATCCATAAACACAGAAGGTCCCGCTCACCCCGATCTGTCTAAATGACGTTGGGGCAGTCTTCACCACCACAAAGAACATGAGAGACAAGAACATTCCAGATATACCGCTGCCAAGAGATCTATAAGCTAATGGGAAAACCTCCCCAGCTATTGCCCAAGGTATAGGAAGAATACCTAACGTTTTTCCAAAAATGTATATCAATGTAGGGACTACTGGTATCCACTTATAATCATCGGCTATGTATCCGAAATCCCGTAAGTATAGAAGGAAGGAAGTGGTGAAGAGTGCAAGGACGCTGATAATTATTCCTACAAAAAGAACAGTCCTTCGATTTAATTTGTTTACCACCATACAAGATAGAACAGCAGTCACGAATCTGACGACATCAACCATCAACATACTGGTGTATGATTCAATCGCACCATCAGTTACTTCTTCCATCATGGGTACCGTGTAAGACGGTACTACAGTCATCCCAGATATTTGGAACAGCACAAACATGAACATCATTATCACTGTTGGCTTGTAAAACTCTGGCTTCTTCGATATTTCAAGGAACGCCTTCAATTTAGATACCTTTTTGCGTGGTACAAATGTATTTTTCTGGCTGTTCAGTAGAACCTCCAATTCTTTTTCAGACTCGTCGTCGAAGCCCCTCAACCATCGGAACGATTTTTTACATTCTTCAAATTTGCCTTTAGTGGCTAGGTACGGTGGAGTTTCTGGTGTTAAAGAGACTAAAAGAAGAGATATGGCGTAGCAACTTCCACAGGCCAGCGCTGCGGTTCTCCAGTATAATATGGTACCAAAAACGTGAGCAGCTAACATTCCAGTTGCGAAGGAAAACGCGATAGTGGCTAAGAAAGCTCCTCTGTGTTTTGGGGCTGAGTATTCAGCTATGGAGACAGGCGCGGCTGCTGCTTGGATACCCATTCCGAAGCCCTGGAAATTTAAAGTTTTTTAAATTGTGAAACAATAGAGAGTAAAAAATGTATCTTTAAACTCAAACATACTTCTTTAATACATACAGAACCACTTATGTTACATGACTAGCCAATTTTCCAAGGTTAAAGTGTAATAAATAACTGGTTATATGAATAGATTACATTTTCGCTTAAGATTTAGACATCGTCCTTGGTTGTTATTGATAATTTTCAAGAGCGATAATATATGTGTTATATATTATCGCTCTTGGTCTAAAAAAGCCCGTGAAGCTATATGTCTATCTTTTCAGATTAACTTGCAAGAACGACGGAAAGGGACGCGTCGACGTCGCTGACACAGCTAGTAGACAAAAGAGAGAACACTGTCAATTTACTGAGCAAATGAAACCAAACAAAAGAAGACGATAACTTACTTAGCAACATTGATATACTTATTTCATGTGTACATATTATAACAATTCAAAATAATAAAATGCAAACATTGTCTCGATTTATGTGACGTGGATTAAAATGTAGCGTGGTTGCCCCTCTTTGGCTTAACTTATATTTGAAGTCAATAAATAATATGCTATTATAAGTAGATACTTTTATCAGTTTAAAAAACGATACAGTCACCCTTATATATATAAAAATAAATTGAACTAATATATTACGTGTTTCAAACCGTTCAAAGTGTTTTAGGTATCTAGGTAGGAGCGATTTAAAAATTAACGCGTTGTTTGTTTATGTTATAAAAAAAAGAGTGAAAAACCCGTTTCCCCCTCGTGGGGCATGGGGCGAACACATTTCTGTGTCCGATTCACTGATCCGTTCTTTTAACGTGCAAGTAGGCGATAATTCTCCGGTACCCGGCCCGACCGAAACAACTTTTTGTTTCCTTGGGATTCGAACCTCGGACTTCTCGCGCTTAACGCAATGCTAGACAATACGTTTAACCATTTGGCTACAGAGGCGGCGAATGTTTATGTACTGTGTGAATGTTTGTGTACTATATATAATACAATAGTGAATATCAATGTATTGTTGACAACCCTAGATAGTTGTCATATGCAGTGTTAACATAAAGGAAGCAAAAGATTCATACCTAAGTTATAAATAACTTTTTTTTTAAGAAGTAGGTAGACCCTATCATTTTGACTTTCTCACGTCTTATAAAAGTCATATCATTGTTTTTAAAAGCATATATTATTTTCATATAGCATTATTGTAGCGTCTGGTTGCGTAAATAAATAAATTAAACAAAACGAATTAATCATTTACCTATAATTGTCTAAGTGCGGGAGTAATATACATTTAAATAAAGCACTTTTAACGGATTAAAAGGCGAAATATGTAATTAAGTTAGTTTTAATTAAATTTATCTACCGCTCGACATTTCCGATGTTTTGCAGTAGCTGTGGTCGCGAGACTTAACCGCAAACGAGAGGACAGTAATACCCGTATTAAAAAAAAAATCGAGTTTTAAACGAGCAATATGTGATATGAGGTCGGCTTCGCTCAATCTTATACGTTCGTATTGATCAAGTGTGTCACATAAAACTCATTTAAAATCGATTGATAGACATTTCGATCAATAATGGAATGGGATATTGGCCCGACAATAACGTACACGTGCTATTCCATAAAACTTAATAGGTGGCAACATTATTATTATTGTATATTTATAGGTATAAATGATGTGTATACACAACACTAGCTGTGCCAGCGACTTCGTCCGCGTAAAATAGTAGTTTTCCAAATTTGTTTTTGCAAACTTTTATAGATTACCTACTAGCTGGCAATGGTTCGTGACCCGGCCGGTTGATCCAACATAAAAAATATTTTTTCCACCTAGAACTACTTCAAGACACGAAAGGCAAGAAAACACTTCAGCTTTATAATATAATATAGATCAGTAATGTAATTTGAATTTTTTAACTATTATAAAAGCAAATACCGTCTGTCGTTTACGCGAGTAGTACACATTTAAATAAAACACTTAACGGTATAAAACGCGATATATTTTAGTTAAACTTGTTTGAAAATTATTTTTAACTACGGCCCGAAGTTTCGGATGCTTTGCAGCAGCCGTGATCACCCGGTGACCACGGCTGTTAACTAAAATATATCGCGGATTAAACCGTTAAAGTGTTTTTTTAAATATTATAAAAGGAGTATACATAACTTTTTTTAATAATCCTCACTACAGTTTGCTTAAATTTTAATTACCACGTTATAAGTACCAACCTGTAAAGACCTGCTGATCAGAAGAACGGTGGGATCTTTCGCAGTAACGAGCAACGCCCAGCCTCCAAGTGCTGGTAGACTGCTCAACTGATTGGTGAGACGACGGCCCAGCTTTTGCAGGCTGAATGGCGCTACAACTATCCCTGAGATGAGAGCTAGTCCGAGAATGGAAGCTGGAATGAGAAAATAGTAGTAAAATAAGTAACAACAAAATAACATAGTAGAATTTATTTATTTATTTATTTACAGAAATCCTTACACTAAATACATGTTATTTTGTAGTTAGGCAATATACATAAGGATTTACAAATAATAATTTAATAGGATTACCCATGAAAGGTTATATATTATAGGTATAAAACGAGAACTAATTACTAAGGAATTTTTTTAGCATGTGTAGTGTAGTGAATTATTTCTTATTTTTTAAACGTATAGAGTTTTAAGAAAATTTACAAACGTACACTTCTTTCTAATATATTTAGCTAAAGAGTTTTTTTGTTGGTTTCAGCGCGCTAATCTCAGAAACTACTGGTTCGACATGAACATTTTATTCGGTGTTCGTTAGAGCATTTATTGAAGAAAGTTATAGGCTATAAAAAATTATTTAAAATTCGCTGTGGCGTGACTTATAGGAGTGAAGAAATAGCAGGAAATGTAGATAAAAGCGGGGGTTTTTTAAAAAAAAATGATCTATAAAAATGTCCGCGACAGCATAATATGTCTATCTCTTGAAGATTAACTTACAAGAACGACGGGACCCGAACAACGAGTCGGGACGCGACTGATAATGAGGTTTTTTAAAAAATAATTTTTGATGCCCTAAAGAACTATTCCACGCGGACGTCGACGATAATATTTGTAATAATTCTTAAAAAAGTGCTTAGTCTAATGGTCACACTTTAATTGGTAAGTTCGATTCAAAGTTATTACAAAAGAATCTTCTGAGTTCAAATTGTACCATTTAACAATTGTACTGGACCACTTAACAAAAGACTGTTGGCTAATATTTATCGATGAAAGATTTAGGCTAGTAAAGCACCACGCCCCGACCAAATAGCAGCAAAGAAACAGGGAAAATGTGGAAAAACACGGGGAAACTATATATTTTAGATCTTCCTTTTGTTGAAAACATATAAAAATATATGAAATAATGATCAGGCTTCTCATGACGGTAAAATTTTTATTAAATATTTATAGTTTACTAGATGTGTTCGCGACCTCGTCCGCGTGGATTAGTTATTCTCGGCACCGGAAACCATCGAACATATATACTTTTCCCCCTTTTTTCCACATTTCCTGACATTTCCCTTATTTCTTCGCTGCTATTGGTCGCATTGTAATGTTTTAAAGCGTTCATCGATAAATGTTTCCATTCCAATTCAAAAATATTATTTTAAATTCGAACCCGTAGTTTCTGATATTAGCGCGTTCAAAGTAACAAACAAACACACAAACAAACAAACTCTTCAGCGTATATATAGTATCAATTACACCAAGCGGAGACAAAAATACCTTTCAGATTATTCGAACTTACCAATCCAAGACTCGTGGTCTGGAGTGAGGCGCAGAGCAGAGTCGGGCTGGCGAAGCTGCTCAAGAAGGACTCCTGGATAGGCTATGTTAGCCCCGGTGCCTATCATGTACATCACCACTCCACTTACTGCAAGTAGCTGAAATTTATGAAAAATTTAATAAAAACATTAACGGTTTAAAACACGAAACGTATGCACGTAGTCCCTCCGTGATCATGGCTGCTGTTAAGCTTTTCATTTATTTTATACATACCTACCTACCCATATTTTTTGTAATAGTAATCTTTTATATATAAAATAAGAGATATAGAGATATATAAAAAACCATAACAAAACGCTAGTGTTAAGTATATTTCCGCTATTCCATTGAGTAAGAAGCCACTACATAAAATAAAGCATTTTTGACAGATTTAAATGTGACCAATATACCTGCAGTAAATCATCAGAAACGTGAAGTTCACATTTAAAACTGTTAAAAATGCATTTTTCGGCTGAACAGTCTTTCAAAATTATTCATTTCCTAAGTGAGATAAAGGCTAGACGCAAAAAAGAATAAGTCCGTTTTCTGAACTAGGTAAGTAGGTGACCAGCCTTACATATTGTGTATTATCTATTTGTTTAACAATATAGCAATCGAAACACTCGGGGCTATCTTGAGAGCAATATATATTCGACCCGACAACATTAAACTAATATCTATAAACCTAAATAGGTAGTACCACTTTTAAAAACACGAATTATACTGAGGATCTAAGAAAAAGACAAGTCTTGGTCTTTTTCACTGAAGGTTGTTCATCTTTTTTCTTGTGAAAAATCGATTAACGAGATAGATAATTTAAACCGAAATATGTCCACTTCCTTCTCCATGGTTAATTAAAGTCGATCAATGTCAACAGATGGCGCCATCATAAAGCTGACTTTTACAAAAATAATGAATTTGATTAGCTATGAAAATCTGTTAAAAGAAAGCTGAAAGTATTTATAATAGTCACCTGTCTCAAAAACGGCACTTGCTTACTACACTTATAACCATCATTTTCCAACATTTTCCCGACCATGGCTGACTGTTGATAGATGATGCGAATCAAAGATGAGGCATTCTGTTCCTGAAAATATTCCCACTATTAGTAAATGATGGTGGAAATGGTGGAATTAATTAAGGAAAACACACTATTAACATATTAAATCACTACGACGTTATACGATATACTCGTAATTCAAGAAATAATTAGGAATTGCATACATGTTAAAATTTGAATTATAAACTTTTTTGCTTTTTGGGGTTCCGTATCTTTAGATTAAAAATATATACTAAGTTACTACTACTACTATTTTACTACTATATTATATACTAAGACTTATGTGTCTGTATGTTGTGTGTGTATTTTTTTCTAACCATCTTTATGTAAATGTCAAACTAAAGTAATTTTAATCTGGGCATTTCCATAGATTATTATTTAAGATTTTCATTTCTTTTTGTATAAATTCCGGTTTTTACCAAGTGAATTTAAGATAGTTCATTATTTTAATACATAATCCAGTGTCACAAAGTGTTTTGTGTCAAATTAATGTAAACCTTGTGAGACCATTGTTTTATGTAAATTGTGTCTTTGTTTACCAAAAATGCCAAGTAAGAAAAAATACACAATATAAAATTACAGATTCAGCGTTGACAGGAAATACTAAAAATAAACAAATATTTCATAAAAGTTTTTTAAATACACTATAGAAGATTACAATACGAAATTTGCAGTTGTTCTGTTTTATTTATATTCGATTTCATTAGAGCACTGACGAAAAACACACTATAAATTTACAGTTTAATATTAGTAGAACAGACAAGTATTACCTAGTTAGCACCTCAATGTGATATGAAATAATATCAGTGTAGTCGTAGTCATAAATGTTAAAATTGGGGGATTCCCCCAACTTAACTGGAATAAAACCTGTGTTTTTCCTTTTCATTGATTAGGAGAACACGATTTCAGTTTGATGTATTGGAAAAGACTTGTTCTAATGGGACTTTGATGCCCAATGGCTCCAGACATTTCCTTAGACCATTTATATTTTTTCTAAAACGTGTTGGACTTCGTCTGGAGATTTTAATATTGACAAAACGTCACAGAGTTAAAAAGCCGTGATGATAATCGCGTTTCGGTTCAGTCTGTGGATTTCCGAATACGCAAAGACGAAATAGGTCAACAGCGGTTCTTGTTGAGAGGTTATTCGACTACGCTATTTCACCTGCCAAGTGAACGCCTCTATGCGTGTCTGTCCTATCTATTAAATATATACGATTATAAACGTTTATATTATGTGTAGTTTAAAATTAATTGCCTTCCTAGTACTTGTAATTATACTCTCAGAACAAAGATCGCTTGAAGAATTGTGTTAAGTTGCGGAAATAATTACAGTACTTATCAGCTTGTGTTGAATGAAACGTAGGTATACAAAATTTGTCCTTAGTTATTTTTCAATTTCCTTTTTTACTGTCTAGCAAACCATACTTTAATAAAGGGAAACAGTTTGACTGTAAATTCCATTAAAATTATTAAATACTAGCTGTGCCCGCGACTTTGTTTGCGTGGAATGGTTATTTCGGGCATCATATGGTTTATTTTTGCAGCAACCTCCTCATTCTATAAATCATAACTGTTACCCGCAACGAGATTAGACATATACGTTTGCCGGGGATATGTTTTAGATCATTTAAAAAAGAATCATTCTTGTATGCATATTTTTTACAGTTTGCTCCTGAACTATTTGTCGCAGCGTGAACTATAGACGTAAAACCCTTCTAAGATAAATCAATACAAATCCTCTTCCAATTCCAACTAGTATTCTTCAGCTTACCTGTTGGTCACAGACAAACTCTTCATGTTTTATATTCTAATGTAAACTATTATTTTCTTCTTAATAAACTATCTAAGCAACACGTAAAGTAAATGTAAAACATTACTTCGACCATAATATTTATAATGAGACGTAAATCCTTGTATGTAATGTAAGATAGACTTTAAAGAACTGTTCACGACATGTTTAAATTTAAGCCTTTATTGGTAAACCAATTGAAAATAATTTTCCAATTCAAACTGACGTTCGCTCGGATGCCTGGAGATTAGCGGTTGTCAAATTAACTTATTTTCGTTTTAATTAAACTAATGAAGTGTTTTCTTTAAATCACAAATGAACTACTTGCTTAATAATAGTATTTTAACAGTATATTTTGTGGTTGATGGTATGTCATATATATAAATATGTAATTAGGGACAAAATTACTTAAGAAGTTGCAAAGTCGTAATATTGTTTGTAACATAAAAATATAATTTTTACGTTGTAAGGACGGCTCGTATTTTTTGAGTTGTTAGCACAGCCTTAATGATAAATTTTTTAAAGTCTATGCCAAATTGAAACCATTAAAAAGTGGAAATAGTTAAAAGACATTTACAAAATTATTTTCGCAGTCTACTCGATTTATAGTACTTATATTTGTTTCACCCTGTATTTAACCTGCAGGTAAAACAGGGCAAATCTCTTTCGTTTTTTCTATGCATTAGCTTTGCACCAGATAAAGTAAATTAATTTAAAAAATAGACTAATCAGACATGGCACTCTTTCAATTAAAAATCGATTATAAATTAAAAAAATCGATTATAATTTGTCCTGCCTGAGTCGTATTATTTTTCAATTTATAATCGATTTATAATTCAGACATTTTTTTTAAATAATTAAGCAATTTTTAATAACGAATAGTTTATTGTAAAGGTGTAGACAACAGCACAGTGTAATAGACTGACGGGCACATTTTCTCAATACGGAAGGACTTAGAACCTGTTTGTCTATACATTCATCAACGATCGCTTGGCACGATTTCTCCTAGCATCCGCTTTGATGACGTCAACCTTGACTACAAGACAGCCAGACAAATAAAATATGAGTGCACATAAATAATACTTTTAACTGTTTAAAACGCGACATATAATAATCAATGTAGATTTAACTACGACCTGACGATTCATATGATTTTAGTAGCAACGGTCAAGACTGTTTATTTGTTATCTATACCTACTCTATACAAATATATAAAGCTGAAGAGTTTGTTTGTTTATTTAAACGCACTATTCAAACTACGCGTTCGAATTTTAAAATAATATTTATGGAGGAAGCTTTAAGCTATAGAACATCACATACGACTAATGGTCAAAAAAAAGGGGGGAAAGAAAAAAAAATTTTTTTTTTTTTTCCTTTTTGGTTGGTGGGGGGGGAAAAAGGGTTAAAAAAAAAAAAAAATTTAAAAAAACCCCCTTTAAATTATCAAAAAAAATTCCCCCGAAACTTTACGACAATTTTTTAAGATTAATTTGCAAGAAAGATGGGACGCGACCGACGTCGTGGGTAACGCGGCCGAAGTCGCTGGGACAGCAAGTTTGAAATATTTTATTTTAGTTTTTAACTGTTTTACACGCTAAACAGTTTTTTTATATAACAATATTACAACACTATTAACTAGCCCTTTTACTAGATTTTATTTGCATACGTAAGAGTAAAACCTCTTTTGTTTCACTCGGCTATCAAACGCGAGTAATTCGATCTACTTTGTATAACTAAGTATAAATTGCATTCGAGATCATTCCATAATTGTATACTATACCCATTGTTGATAATAGTCCGTGAAGCATAAAGCACACGTTTCTTTTTAGTTAAGCTTGCTTAGACACGTTTGAAACGTAATACTATTTATCTCTAAAGAAGGGACAATCTATACTAATAGATATAGCTTAAGAGTTTGTTTGTTTGAACGTGCTAATCTAAGGAAATACTTTGTCGAATTGAAAAATTATTTTGGTGTTGGTTGGAGCATTTATTGAGAAAGGGTATAGACATACAGCATATTGCTGTGACCAATAGAAGCTAAGAAACAGCAGGAAATGTAGACAAAACGGGAAAAATTACTCATCCTTGTAAGATACCCAAAAATGCTATAAATGTCTTGAAAGAAAACCAAAAAATTGTAGACTTACTATAAGTGAGTCTTAAACTATATGTATTTATATTTATATGGATAATATACCGTATTCCTGGCTTAAAGGTTTATCAAAGTAACGATAGCGCAATAGGTTCGAATCCCGGAAAACGTATATTTGAGTTTGAGAGGACTCAGTAGTCTTGTCAACAATTTTCTCATTGTAATAAAAATTAAAAACATACCATGGGGTAGGAAACGGGACCTACTAGGTAACTGTAGGGACTCAAATATAATTTAGGATTGTCTGTAGATTACGCGACTAGTACACAATTAAATTTAATGCTTTGACGGTTTTAAACGAGAAACATATTCGTTTATTTATTTATAATTTATTTGCTGCAGCATTTCGAGACCACGGCAGCTGCAAGTCATCCGAAACTGACTAGCATTACACTAATACATCTCCCGTTTTTAACCGTGAGAAGTGTTTTTTTTTATATGTAAATTATAGACAGTATTTAAAATTCAACTAGTTTGAAAATAGATCGATCTAAAGTCGTAATCAAGTACGATCACAGAATTTATAATAGTATTTCTGATTTAAAGATTAGCACTTGACCTTGGCATTACACGTGCCCTTGAGGGTCAACGTAACCAAGGAGCATAAGAAAGAACCTCATTATTTCTACTTGTCAAGAAACACGACGAAAATTCCACTAATTCTATATCATTTGCAAAAGATGTACTTACGACTAGAAATGTACGTCACAGGCAAATTAAGAATGTCTTTGCGGGTAATTGTATTCGTATGTATATGTACATTGCAAGCCGAGATTTCAAATTTATCGATAAATAAATTTAAGAACGTTAATAAATCTAGATTGTTTTAAGGCGTATTATTGTCCGAACGATTTCTTTAATGACAAGACCGCCTGGTAGTTATAGGAATTGCTCCTTAGGTTAATAAATTCACAACAATATATTAGTTTATAAGACATGTTTTAAAAAGCCGGACTGAGTGTCTTTCTGTTTTGAACATCCTGTAGAATCATAACGAGCAGACAAACAACCTTTTTTATTTTTTTTGACGAA